CAATGTATTAAATAATATGAAAACGACGGATTTAACTCAACTTTATGTGTAACTTCGCTGAATTTCAATGGCCCATTTCGTATTGCTTGGTAAACAGCGGCGTTGACGTTTACTGTTGGAACCAGTCAGTTTCCAAATTAATCATCTAGATTCTATATGTACTGTAGCTTCACGAATTAATTGCAGGGACATTATTCGGTATCACGAACGGACGCTATGTTATTATCTTTGTTGTCTAGCACGAATGGCTGTTGTTGTTTTAACTAATCACCGGATAACATATACTGGTACAGTGAAAGGCGTTTTCCTTTCTGGTGTCTGGTATTTATCGTATCGGTATCTGCTACTGACAAAAGTAGAGGGATAGGGTCAAGGTGGTACTTCTGTGCTCCATTAGGGCATACACAGTGTAATTTGCTTTGAAGGAACCTTTGCCCGAACAGCGGCAATGCTGCCTACTCTTATTTCGAATTCCAACTGCCAGGTGTTATTGTACTTGAATACCAATGTGTACACGGTGTTTCTTCCCATCCCATCAGACTAGACGCTGTTCTTTGACAGACCTTTCGCCAATCCCAAATGACAAGGGGAAACCAAGGGTTCCGAGAAACTCATCCAAGTTACTCAGTTTGCAACCGCGACCCCCAGAGTAGTAGGTCAAACGCTAACCGAAGACGAGCATCCAGTTAGAGGTTGCTTCAGTCAAATTATAAAATAATTATACTTATGCTGAAATAATCTGTGCCCTAAAAAAAGTAGCTTACACTCATTCTGAAATAAGCTGTGCTCTAAAATAATTACACTAAATGCTGAAATATTGGTTTAACAGAGGTACTGGATAGTGCCAATACAAGCGGCTGTCATATTTGCATAGGATGTCCAAGTAATTTTTGTTAGAAAACGGAGGCTGTTGGGCTTTAATAAACAGTGAGAAAGGAGACAACAGAAGAGAGGCCATTTGAATACAGATCCCTGATTAACCACAATATCAATTTGACCTATAGCTTTAATGGTGCCGCGCTTTATAATCTTCTAGACTTAGTCTAGATACCTCTCTACTCGATTAGTCACAACTTGTCTGTCCATAATGATGTATAACGATTAATCTAGGTTGTTCCACAGAATCAAATATTTACAAAATCTGGTCATTAGATGGATTATACCATGTTCGCACTGAGTGTCAATGTCTGGAAAGATACGTTTCTCGACCGATATTTCTAGTGCCAACTATATTAAAATACTGCTGTCCAGGTGTTTTAGGTCATTAAAATATTTTTTCTTAACCAATACAGATCTTTCGTTTGACCTCAAATTTAATATAAATCACTAGTTAGATATTTATTCACATTCCAAGCCCATAATCAACTCCCTAAATCATTGGATAGTTTTGATTTTCAATAGATTTAAACACGATTATCGAAACTTTATTATCGCAACAACGATCTAGTAATGGCAATCGAGACTGCATTGTTATTCAAACGGCCACAACTCGGCTCAAAATAAAAAAAATTGACTGAAATGTTCAACATACTCTCTTTTCATTTTCTAATTTTTAATCTATTACAGCGAGAACTGTCAGCTCCTTATCTGAATCTTACATAATGCGATGTCCATTGTTTCTATCGTTTTAAGATCATATCAATAATTTGATCATTTGAAAGCCACAACGTACGATTATATGTCTAATTTAATTTAAGAAAGCGTTTAGAAAAAATAAAATAAAGAACTATTTCAACAGCCTTTATACTGGAAATCTTTCATGATCGCATTGTGTTACTTTGTTAAACCAAAGGTGTCATACAGAGTTTAGCAACACACGGGTATTCAGTATGAATATGATAAATTGATAGTTAATATTTAGCAGTAGAATTGATGACCTCCTTCATCAGATTTTTACTTCTGCGACTGATATATTTTTAGGTTAACCACGGCTCCTGTATCTATGTATTTGTGTCGGCGGTACAATTGATCTAGAAAGGTTAATGACAGGACATATGAAATCACTGATTCCTTTTAGCTTAAATGGATTAAATGGATCAGGTTAAGTGGACAAAGAAAGGAGGCTAACAACCTTATTGAATAGTATTATACCGAGGATAAAAATGAATAATAATCCCTGTAATATATATACATCCAAAATTATTAGCACAACCGTAAAGCTGCAATACTTTGTTTCACGGTAAACGATGAAAAGATAAAAGGTATGGCGACACAAACTGATTTCAACACGGCGACACAAACTGATTTCAACACTGGTTTAATAACATTTTAACATTTTAAAGTACTTTTCGTCCGTCTTGGGACTATTCATAAATAATGTCATATTGATCTATATATAAATCTCTAGTCTTATTTCTGGACATTTTCTAATATAAATACCCAAAAAAATTAATTCAACTTTCATGACGCAAAATAGTTATCTTTGTGGATATGTTTTATTTAAAGGACATTGGCGCCATTTTGAAATCGAACCGAAAACTTGTTAGACACCATGTCATATATCTTTTTAAAAACTGACCACAAGGCTGTTTTCATTTATAAAGTTAACATTGTAGCTATTTCCTTTTCATGTACACTTATTCACGTCTAGCAGAAAGAATATTGCAAGAACTATAAAAGCCTCTTAAATCTCCCCCAAGTCAAAATAAATGAATATATAAAGAGAAATTAATTGGGCAAAGTGGTCGTATAACAATTTAGACACAATATAAAAGTTATTGTTGCGTGATATGACTTGTCAAAAAATCATTATTTAAAGCGGCATTGGGTAAGATTAGATAAAGAGCTGGCAATTTTCGCTATTATAATAGCTAAAAAGTTTGATAATGAAAAGAAAATATTTTGAAAATTTCCGTCAATTACTTCACTCTGATCCAAGGAATCGGCGATATGATTATAATCTAGCCACGATCGTCATTACCATTGTTACGATAATAAATATTTTTTTACGGTTACAGCATCTACCATAAAACGTATTTGAATCCACTAAATATAGCAGGCTTCCGATGACATCGAGAGTTGATTATGGTCTTGGTAAGTTAATTAATGTCTAATTAATAATTTAGATAACATTTCAGCCCCCCCCCCCCAAAAAAAAACAACAAAAAAAACCTGCAATAGGCAAATTTACCTCTTGCATAATGCATGTTTAAATGATAATATAACTGTCATTCAAGATGATAGACATGGGTCATTTCCTTAAATCTAAATAATATATTATTATTAAATATGTAATCGGGTAACGTACATAGTATGCTGCTTTCCACTTCGAAACTCTTGATACCAGTTTCCTTTAACTACTACTGAAATTTGTAAAATTATGTTTCTGGAGGGAGCCACGGTGGCTAAGTGGGTAAGACGCTGGCTCGCTAGCACTGGCCGAGAAAGTTCATCGGGATTTTCCGGCGTGGTTTCCACTTGTCAGTGATGCAGGACGGAGGGCCTGACAAGTACAGCTGTCTAGTGCACGTAAAAGATCCCTTGACAGTTGGAATTCCCTCATAGCACACAGTATGGTGTATGCCCGTCTTTATTAGCCCAGTTGGAACAGAACAGTAGGACATTAAACCCCATTTCATTTCATGTTTCGGGGTCATTTTACTAATCGTGCGCCTTTGTTATGTATCACAACGTACTGTAACACCTGACAATGTATACCGGAACACCTGACACTAGAAGTGTGTATAACGGGACATCTGACTCTAGATATGTATCTATGACGGGACGTCTGACCCTAGTACATGTATCTGTAATGGAACACCTGACTCTAGCATGTGTCTATAACGGAACATCTTACTAGACGATTTTAAAGAAATGAATAGTTCTGTGTTGTATTGGAATTGTATTATTATTCTAAAGATGGTAATAAAGATATACATAGTTCTATATTGTATTGGAATTATGTGGAATGTTGAAAGATAACAACTGATCCTTAATAATACTGCTGTGGAATTCTGAAGAACTGGTGGTTGTTCTAAAAAAAATGAAAACTTTTATTTTCCTGTGTGGAATGCTGAAGAATAATAGCTCAAAAGTTTTTTTTTATGAAACGATGATCACTAAAACTAATCATGGTCTTAAATAAATAATCAATTAATATTCTAGTTGTGGACCATGCTCGAGACCAACGGAACGTGGTCATGTCATAAACAATTAAACATTTTGGTTTTGATTGTTGACCCATATAACTGGTTAGTACAGTTTAGTTGTAGAACAAACTATTCTAAGCAATTTTTTCTGTTTCTGACGAGGATAGATCTTGAAGCAAAACAATCTACCACAACTGAACTGAACCCAAACCACCCACATGTGGCAATAAAATTGTAAAAGCGTGATCGTGAATGGCCTGTCTGTCTCTGTATTTGACTGTCTGTCAGTTTTGTTAGAAATGATGACACAGTGACATTTTGTAAAGGTCACTAAAACAGGTGTTTCATAATATTAGTAGTCTCAACAAAACACAGTCACCATTGTTAAATAATCAATTTATCACACAGTTTATGTAAACAAGCCAACAGCAATACATAAAACAGAGAACGTATTCTTGTATAAGGTCATATTCTATCTATACAATTAAAAGCATATACATAAATACACCAGAAGCGTCCCACTGCACTCACCGATAACAAATCGGCATTGTCATACTGGTGACAGAAGAGGGAAAATGAATGCATCAAGGATGTGGTGACCTTTGCTTTTGCACGAGGAAAAAGTGCCCGTGGGGGCAAAAAAAACTCAATATCTATATCGACTCTGTCTACTGAAAATAAATCTTTGGATCCGGTAGTTGCATTGATAACCGGGACAGTACATAAGAATACACGGAATTATTACGAAAATAAGATTTAATTGGTCTTATATCTTAATAAAGCAGTCATGTTACGAGGTCTGAGTCTGTATATCCATGAATAATTAGTTCTATGTAGCCAACCGAAATTTTTTTATAAAGCTTATAAGGTCCCCCTGGAATTGATGATAATTTTAATTAAAACTTGTCTTACCTTGTGTATAATAGAGTTGAAATGAAACTGACAACTGTTTTGGTCCAACATAGGCGTATACAACAATGACCTTCAGTCTGTCACTGTTAACTGTTCTCGGCTTATTAAATCATTTACATCTCTTATGAACTTCACAGTTTTTACAAGAATATAATTTACAGCTAACCTTTTCCTATTCAACGACGCAAATAGGAAACAACCGACAATGAATAACAGTGGATGACTAAAGAAAAAGATCCTGATTGACTGATTGAATGGATGACATGAATAAAATACATTCGAAATATAAATTGCCATATTGCTAGCATTGTCGTTGTCGTCATTGACATCATTTTCTACATCATCATCGGGATTGGTAACATTGTAAATCTTAATCAGTCGTTCCAATCATCTTTAACCATGATTATAGCCCTTCGCGAAAAGTTGTTATCGGAAACGAAAAGACCATCAAGACCAGTATGTTTGATCAATGTTTGCACTCCACTCAGATTTAAGGTTGAAGAATTCTCATTCATAATTTACTTTACTTTTCTGTTAATTCTCCACTAGATTAAATTAACAATGCTATTTACTATCTGATCTGTACAATACAACCACCTGCTTTTCCTTTTCTCGGGACACCCTGGCAGCTGGTCGAGTGATGTATCGTTACTGAAGGACACAAACTAATCTGTCGAACCCCATGAAATTCCATCTCACACCTAGGTTAGGATCCGACCATCATGACGTACAGCTAAATCACCTTTCATCATGGTTATCGTTCTCGGAACCCCTTTCTTGTGACGATGGGTTTTGGAGAATGCATATACATCTCGGCCATCAATAGACCAGCCATTTTATGATATTTCCACTAAATAAACGTTTTTATGCATTATTGCGTTTATTTAGGTATACTTAATAACATCCCAAAAGTTTACCAAATTTTGGTATCCGGAAAGCTCTAAAACATTGTACAATTCAAGATGGCCGATATTCGCATAATCAATGTACAAGAAAATAATTAACGGTTGGTTATTATGAACATATAGAAATATGATATCAAAATGTCTAATGAGTCCATTAAAAGTAGTATGACGTCATGTAGCCATACAATGACATACTATGGCCACCGGCATTATCCACTTACTAAACCATTTAAATGTTTGACTTTATACTAACATTTGTGACTGTCGTTTGTTGTTTGTCTGTTCAGGGTTGGCGGCTACACTAGGGCTGTCCCAAGGATGAAATTTGGTGTGTTGGGGTAGCTTGGACCAGGGAATAACATAGACCTGCTGGCGATGGCCCACTACTTACCGGAACATGAAACCAATGGATCTTTGGAACATAAAAATTACAGCGAAAGTTTATCGGGATTTTCAGCCTGGTTTCCCCTTATCAGTGAGGTAGGACAGAGGGCTGGGTAAGGAACGAAAACCATGGGCCCGTTGACGTGCACGTAATAGAGACCTTGACAGTTGAATTCGGGTGCTGTCTGGGAAAAGTTTCCCACTAGCACAATGTATGTCAAATGCCCATCTTAATTAGCTCGGTTGGTGTAGAAAAGTAGGCCGTTAAACCATATTTCATTCATTCATTCATATTGGTCAATGAGGGAGACAAAACTGTTTTATTGCTTGTGGTGGGATTTCATGGAAATCGTTGACCTGTATTAAAAGCGGCATTTAAAAGCTCTTGAAGACAGTCTAAAGCTGGCTGGTTACATTTGTCATTATTCAATAAGTAATTGAGATGTGTCTTGGTATGTAATTACAGTTAACATTGATCTTACATTAAGTTTCTTCTATACAATCAGACATATCCATTCTCTTGAATTATCACGCATCTCCCCAATTACTTTCGTATCTGACTGACACGGCGTGTAAATTAACTAGAAAATAAATGATGCTATTAGCCGCTAATTTTAATCAGAGAAATGCAAACACAAGCACAACAGAAATTAAAGCTCAAGGCCCAGCTTCACAAAGCACACATAAGACGTGGCGTAACTGCAGAGTCCGGGGCCCTAGGCGAAAGTTGGCCTATTTTGGGGCGGGACTTGTCAAATTTTGATTTTTAGCTTTTCTTTTTTATGATTATTTATTTATTATTATTATTTTTTTTTCTTAGCTTTTCATTCACAAAATTATTCCATAACATTGCGTTGTATATGTAATCATGACTGTATAACTTTTCAAATGCCTTATTTTACTATATTAGTATTAAAATTTCTCACAACGAGCTTTAGCTTTAGAAAAGATAATTATCAATAATATTATTTATATCCATCGCTTTGGCGTCTGCATTTTCAATTGATAAAATAGCTAATCCACCTAGTCTCTCTTGTGACATGGTCGACGGCAAGTAAGTCTTTATCCGTTTAAATTTCGAAAAGGAAAGCTCTGTCATGGCAAAGGTTACGGGCAAGAAAACAAACAATGCACAAACTGTTGTCAATTCGGGCATTGAAGACATTACCTGAGAAGAAATCAAAAGTTTTAAAAAGTTCAGTACGGTGTTCTTCAAAGCTAACTCTTGACTAATTTATCGACAAAAAGATCACAATAAAATCATTGCTAAAAACTGTAAAGTGCTATGATTTTAGATGCTTAAAGAGTCTAATTCTTCATCTGATAGCTTTTTTAAAAAAGTATGTGGACTATAAATGAGATACTTGTTAGATGCGAGGAAAATATTAGTGAATAATTTGCTTTCAATTTGTACGCAAGACCGAATTAATATATTAGGTTGTTTCGGGGGGGGGGGGGTGTAAATTCGGTGGAGGCCCAATGGAGGTTACTGGCCCCTGGCCTGGCATTTTGCTACCCTCGCCCAATGCGGCTGTGACGCCACTATTATGTAAATCTTAATAATAGCTCTCACAGTAATTATTTTTCTTAAAAACATTGGTTATTTCCTAATAGATTGCCAGCTCATTAACCATGTCTACATCAGATAAATGCAGTTACTATAACGATCGTTTACGATTGACCATAAAGTTCCCTTATCGACTAATCAAAACCATGAGACAAGTAAAAGAGAAAAACAAAATTCTCTCTGTTTTGTAAACAATCAACCAATATTCTTCTGAAGTTATTTTTAGTTGGCAATCATTTTTTGAGGAATATCATTTTTTTCTTACAGAAAAGTTTCTGGTTAAACAATGGTTGTACTTTCGAGCACGAAAAATACAATTCTAGGTACCATTTTGACAGCCCCTTAATACTTATTGATTTAATCGCACTTAATCTAAGAAACTACTTCGAAAGTACACATATTAATATAATTAATTCATCGTTTAGATCTACTTAATAGTAAGTGCAGGAGGACCGCACTACACACAAAACAAAAATCTACAAGATAAACCTGCGGACAAGACAGAAAATAGACATTGCACCAAATAAACAAATATCAAATCAAGTGAATGGATCCGGGGGCCAGCCGTAAGCGTCCACTGCGCTGTACAATTCCGGGCCTGTAGTGACACAGACTTCACTCAAATTTTAAAACAATCAGGAATACAAAAAAGACGTAACAGAAATAATGCGACCAATCTTGACAGTGGTCGTCTCCTCAATGGCCATACCATACATACGCGTGCAGCATGGATTATTACTCGACCGTAAAAGCGCGTATGGCTCTGTTCTAATGAACCTTAAAATAAACGAAATTAGGTCTAAAAGCACATATTAATGTAATATGAATTATATAAAGTGATCTAAATATATATATTGTATTTTCTAAACGGCGGTCTTTTGCGTCTATTCTACACGTTTTTTAATTATTATTTTTGTCGTCAGGTAATAACTTCCACAGTGTCTTGTAGGATATGTTTGTCTTTGTTCATTGCAAACACTAGAGTACGGTACACGACTCGTGTACTGATTTTAAAATGGTTACTATGTCTTAAATATGGGATAATTGAACCAAGTGTTAATCCCGAAATGACCTAGTGTGTGGCGCAGTTCCAGGGTTACCGCCTCAAGCCCGACCGCATATCGATAACGATAGAAACCACGATTGTTTTCAAATTCGGTGTTTGGAGCATTAATATTTTGTTATAACGAATTAATAGGTAATTTCGGGATTAACACATGGTTCAATTTTATCTCAATAAACCTCGTGGGTTTTCATCGGGTCCACCCGTTTTCTTCAACTGCTAAATACCCCTAAGCTAAAGCGAATTATTGAAATAAAACTGAACCATGTGTTAGTTCCGAAATGACCTAGTTTGTATCGCAGTTGCAAGATTAACGCCTAAAGTCCGATCGCATTTCGATAAAGATATAGACCACGATTTTAAGATTATTTTATTTTCAAATTCGGTGATTGGATCATTGGGGTCATTAGTCGACGTGTTAAATCGTAAATCGATTAATTTGATCAATCTAAACAATTAATTCGTTAAAACGAAACAATTAATTCGCTTAAACGAAACAATTAATTCGTTTAAACGAAATATGTCGTTTAAACCAATTAATTATTTCGTTTAAACCAGTTATTTCGTTATAACTAATTAGTATTTCGTTTGAACGAAAAAATTATATAAGAGTGGAATCGTGCACGTTACCTATTAATCAAGACTCAGCCTCGCTTCTCAATTTTAAGTTAAATCATTAAATGGCGACCATATTTTAATCTGTTTACATTTCCGCCACCCGATGGCCTAGAGCAGTGGTTCTCAACCTTTTTTGCCAACGGCACATCTTGGAACACATGAAAAAATAGCGGCACACCTGGCTAAATATTTATGAAAAATATTTGAATTTTGCAAAATAAAAACATGGCAAGTCATAATAGACAGCATACAACCGTAGACCGAGACTAGTCATGGACACATAGAATGACGCAAACTAAATAAAAAAAAAACAGCTATGAACTTCCCAGTAGACACCAGTGAATACTCAAAATCGCATTTTCTTAGTGTGCCCTTCAGAATTTCGCGGCACACTTAGGAAGATCTGGTTGAAAATCAGTAAACTCACAGTAGACACCAGTGCATACTCAATTGGGATCACGTGGTTTTTCGCATTTTCTTAGTGTGCCGTTCAAAATTTCGCGACACACTTAGGAACATTGTTGGTTGAGAATCACTGACGTAGAGAGTTGATTATAAGTTTGTCATGTGAATTATAAATGTCTAAATAATAATTTATATATCACTTGAAGCCAAAAAAAAATAACCTATTATATGCAGATTTAACATCAAAACTCGCTCTCACAAATAAGTACACTCCGAGCACTTACAGACACTTCCTTGTCATATAAAATGTTTTTCAGCCTACTTGCTTTGCTTGTCACACAAATGGTTTGGGACTTTTTGTTGTTCGGTTTCATTTTGTCTGGCTTTGCTCTGAACACGATTTACTTGACATATAACATAATAGTAAGTGCAGGGGGACCGCACTACACTAAAAAAATAATCTACCAGATAAACCTTTGGACAGAACAGAATACATAGACATTGCACCAAATAAACAAATATCAAATCAAGTGAATTGATCCGGGGGCCAGTCGTAAGTGTCCACTGTGCTGTACATTCCCGGGTCTGTAATGGTACAGGCTTCACCCAAAATGAAAAAGGAAAAATATTTACATGTACAAGGAAGACGTAAAAGAAATAATGCGACCGATCTTGACAGTGGTCGTCAGGTAGTGAAAATAAGACCGTATACAAAAGAGCAGAAATATATTTTTCTTTTGTTTTTTTGCTTTGTTTCACTTGAAATCAACCCACACGAATATAATCCGAATTCGAAGCTTCTAATGAGTAACATGAAGTAATTCTTTATTTCCATGGAATTAGCTGTGGGTGAACATTGAAGAAACATGTTAGAAATTCTGAGGGTGTTCAGGTGATCCAGGCGCTTATCCAGTACAATCCTAGGATAGATAAAACTTCTGACATACCCGAATAAAAGTTCCCCACTCCTAACCAATATTTGTAGAACATTTTTAAAATGCACAACTTAATATAAAGACAGGTTGCCAGAAACAATTCGCCCAAAACATGTGTATGGTCTGTTGGTTCTACAAGCTGTTCATACAGGTATTGTGATTCTTTAGGAAAGACAAAATCTGTACCTTCACTAGATCCTTGACAAGATGCTATAAGATAAACAAGGGCACTAACTCTAGAAGTAATTATCAGAAATTTTATTAATGTATTGCATTGGTTCGAGCTGATTTAAACCAAGAATATCAGTTTCAAGTAGATTAGATGATGACTTTTGCTACTACAGAAATCACATGATCACAAGGGCAATGACTTAAAAATAATATATATAAACTTCAAATAGATCAGATAACATTTTGTCAGGTTCTAGAAAGTAAAACAAGCGGTTGCCATGCAAGATACGCCCACATTTTGCAACTTTTCGTATAATCTGGAGCCGTAATCGAGGATGTTACGGTCCGATACGCACAAGCATCGACAAGAACCCAATCTTTGGGATATAAAATATATATTTGAAGTGTGATCAAAATCGTATAAAAATTGTGATCTCTAGAGGATCCACAAGCTAAACACGATTTTTCGTCATATCAGTGGCCATAATTCATGAGGTTACGGTCCAATACATGCCAATGTCGACAGGAACCCAGATCCTTGAGATATAAATCTGTATTTTGAGTTTCGTCAAAATCGGGTAATAATTGTGACCTGTAGAGTGACCACAAACATATGTGAACGTATAAAAAGTAGAAGTATAAGTAATTATTAGAAGTCACTGAAATTCTAAGGGATGGTTTGCTTCACTAATTAAAACAATGCATATAATATAGAGTTCACAACACTCTAGAAAGTAAGCAAGAGCAATATACCCCTGAGTTAATTATCCCTGACATTTCGTTGACTTCTTTGTCTCACTAGTTTAAACAGTTCCGATGACAACATTTGTCATTTGTTACTAGAGGGTTCACCAGATTCTATAGAGTGAGCAACCTTAAAACATCTCGACACAAACTAGATCATATGGTTTTTTAATTTTTATTTCAATAATTCGCTTGCGCGTAGGGGTCTTTAGCAGTGGGAGGAAACCGGAGGACCCGGAGAAAACCCACGAGGTCATCTAGAATTAATAATCACTGAAAATTAGGCCAGTCAATTTATGATTTTACCCCAAGAAAATTGCAAGAAATGGTTTTAATGCATTTTTACGTTTATTTGAGTGTACTCTAAAACATCCCAAAAGTTTACCAAATACCTTAACCGTGTCGACGTATTAAGCATTTGCAGATGCTTGTACAACATGTCAACTCCCTCTTAACAGCAGCCACGTGTATTGAACTTTTGCCTTTCCTCTAGTTTCTACATCGGATGCAAACTATAATGCTGTATAGCCCAGTTAACCGATATTGACGCGCGGATGTTAGCAAAAGTTGCCCATTTAAAGAAAAGCAACCCCATGTGTCTTAGAAATCATTTAAATGACAGCACACTTCATTCTATATAGAGCAATTTGGTCAATGATTCCTTACACATCTATTTGCTTGTCCTGCAGGTAGGGGTATTCCCTCAAAACATAGACATACTAAATATGCCAGAATGCGATGAGGTACCCAGAAAATGGTATAAGGAACGAGTTAACACCACTGGTCACATCTACAAACGAGAGAATGACCAAATTTGCTACTTTATGACGAAACAGTGCAGAATTATACCGTTTCGGATATATGGGTTCTCGGTCATAGGTTTTTTAGGGTAGGGGTACCTTCGAAAATAGCACAAGGGAGAATCGGATATCTATTAAAACCATCTATGATTGACATGACAACCTAAGGTCAATTCTCAGTTTCATTTGTTTCGCTTAAAAAATAATGACCTTATGCTTAACTGAAGTTTTACCTTTTAAAGGAAAATAACTTTAAAAACTTAGCATTTACCCTCAACATTTGCACTTTCCGGTACTCCGATTTTGGTCAACTTTTAGGATGTCATTCAGTACACCCAACTCTACCAGAAACCATGAAAACACATTTTCTTGCAATTGTTTGGGGGTTGGCCTCACTTTTTTCATAAAATGACTGATGTATTAGAAGATCTGACAATAAATCTCAAATTTAGGGACTTTCCGGTACTCCCATTTTGGTAAACAACCATCAAAAAACCTTGTCTTGCAATTCTTTAAGGATTGACCAACTTTTTGTCATAAATTGACTGGACTAATAATAATGTGTTGAGGTGATTCATAACTGCCTATTATAAACTGGACAACCTCATCCTCAAATAATCTAGAAGTTATTAACAATGGAAGACATAAAAATATAGAGCTAAAATTCAGTAGGATTCTTCATATGATTGATAAAACACAGAATATTCACGAGAAATTATGGGCGACAAACACACAGCAATATACAATCACATTTCAATGTTGGCATCTGTCCGAGGCTGAAATTTGGTGTATAGCTTGGACCGGGAAGTAACCATACTCCTCGCGGTGTTTTGTTTGATTATATCTAATCCCACTTAACACTGCTGTAAAGGAAGCAAATTTCTGTTCCAAATTATGACTGGTAAATAGTCTGATTAACAACCAATAACTAACTGTGTAACAAATTCATTATGCTTTAAACAAAGCTCCAAATTGGACCAAATATGTTTACATAACGTTACGTCATGACTCACGATTTTCTTATGTCCAATTAACCAGTGCATAGCAGAATATTGCAGAAAAATTAATTGCGTGACAAACGAGGCTATCAAAACGAATACAATGTAAACAATACTGTTTGGAGACGAACAATACTTTCACCGTTTTAGTACCTTAAATCACTGTCCAAAGTTTTAGGGAAGACCCCAGATTGAACGAAGGGCTGTCATGTTGCTGTTCTTGGGATAGATTTGATTGAAGGGATAGATTTGATTGAAGGGGAAGAATAGATACACTCCCTCAAAAGTTCAAGTATCAGAAGCCAATCCAGCAATGGCCAGAGAGGGATTTCTCGGCCATTGCTTCAGGAATATGAGGAATAACATATGCCTGGTGGCAATGGTCTACCTCTTCTGTTTTCGGAGTTATGCTACTTAGGTTCATGGCTACTCAGGGTCATCCGCTAGTATAAAATAAATGTAAAATAATATAATATATTTTTATTATATAAAACAACAAATAAATATAATATGAGCATACTAACACTTTTACACACAAAACACATAGTTATAACAAACAATGTGGATATACTGATATTGTGCTTAACAGTCCAAACTATATTAAAGGCCACTATAAATAAAGTGGATTTACATCAAAATATTGAGCTGTTTGGAAATGATTGTATGATTTGTTAACAGTATTACATAACTCTTATGGAATTTTATTCTGCATATGAGTGACTTGGCAATCACTACTATTTATAGATATAACTTTGGCAACTATATAAGACATAGTTAACCAGACACAGGTGGAATTTGGAGACTCACTGCCAACTCCACATAAAAATGCCAGACTTGAAATGGTTTCCCAAGACTAGTATAAAGATTTGTAAGTGTCTTTCACCCAAACTTAACCAGTTTTATTCACTAAAATATATCTGGGTGCCCTCCTTTAAATAGGCAGTATATAATAATATATAAGATAATGTTCTTTGGTTACATAAATAAATGATTCACAGTCAGGGAACCAATATTCTCAACTTTTCTATTAACTGCAATAAAAAAGTATAGCAAATATTTTGAAGATATATTTATATTAGTAAGAAGTGGAAAACATGTAGCATACAATGCCTTTTGTAAATTCTAAACATGTATATTTTATATCTAAGTGGCCCTATAGTTAAATAATGCTTATTCTTGTCAGCAGTAATATTAGTAATATGACATATAAATGTACATGCAGTAATAATGTGGTCATGGTGCAATACTATGATATAGTCAATATTTACATACTACATGTATATACTTGTAAACACATATGTTTATAAGGTAAATAAATTTAAAATATATTATATTTATTTAATTCTAGTCTCTCTTCCAGGTTATTTAAATCTAGTGTTCTTTTCCAGTTATTTTTAGGTGGAAGATTTTCCCCTACATTTATTTAAAGAAAGAAATTTTGACAGCTTTAATTTTAATTTACCATTTTTCCGAATCTGTAAAAACTTAAATTGTAATGTTCTAAATATTATCATCGGGTTATAACTAACAATTTTGAGATAAAGAAACTTGTATTTTTAGGTCCATCATTAAAGGAAGCAGTCAGTGGAGTTTTGGCTAATTCTTAAATTTTATAAAAAAACCAAAAAAAACAGCATGAACTCTAGTGTCCGAATTGATTTTAATGTTATTTTGTCACGAGGATGACACAGGTCTCTCCAAATCCCTTTGGATTTTTTTCATATATTCTTAATCACAGCAGTAATAAAAAGAAGAAAGGTAGGATAGAAAATAGAAAGCCATAAAATTTTATGCCCATCATCAAGTTTAGAGCTGACAATTAAATGAAGGGAGCTTACTCCTATTAAAAGCTTTTAATCAAGCAGTATAAAATGTCTATGTTGGCCTGTTGCCAGAACCAAGTTTTACGATACTAAATCTATGGATAAAATGTGAGAGAAAACGTTTTTATCATCCAGTTAGTACCTTTTTAGTAACATGTCTCTGGTCGTTTGCTTTAAAGAAGGATAACAATTTAGATGTTCACTATTCAAATTTTGTCAGTCTTTTTATACCAGATATGACCTTTTGCCAAAAATATTTTAAAACAACTAATTTTTCAAAATTAAAATGCTATGCTGTGTAAATTGATCAAATGTCCCATTTTGGCAGCACCAAATGAATGAAATATTACTGATGGACTAACAGTTTATGTTACAAATCACAATATTTTAATAGTTATGTATATAAACAACACTAAAAGATTTATTAAATGATAAATAACATAATCATCAAGGCACTGGAGAAATGATAAGTTATTTGCAAAGCACATGTAACACTTATGTCATAAAACGGGCCTCAGAATAATATAAAATAGATACAAAAATAGATTTGACAATCTGTAGTACTTTGATTAACAAAAAGAAACAAATGAAAACATTTTAAATCCAAATAAACTAGAAAAATATTTTGAGCAAAAACATATGAGAATATCATATAAAATGCTGTTGTAGGTAGAGAAAAATAGGAATGCTTTGTTATTTAAAGATACATTAGTTAAGAGTTTAAGAAAGAGTTGGCCATTCTTGCTATAATAATTCAAAAATAGATGATAAAAAAAGAAAATATTGAACATTTCAGTCCAATTACTTTATTCTAAACGGAGTTGTCGCTGTTGGAAGTTTGTGCTAGAAATAGGCATCAACTGTGTCCGCACCGTCTTAAGAGAATTGTTTGATTGACAGACGATAACTCCACCCACATATCCACGATTATCAAGTAATATTCTCAATGGCTATGGTACCCTCGCTTGGTAGGCCTTTCAAAACCAGTTTCCAGTGGTAACTAACAGTAAGTGTTAGCGTGGTCGGCCATTTCTTGATTTAATTTTAAATGGACGACTGTTTAAATCCAAGCTGTACCAAGCCATCCAAGGGTCCACAGAGTTGATTTTGAGCATAAAGGATCAAAAACTTTTGATTTACATTATGATTAATAGGATAACTTTTGGTATTAATTTATACCCCCCAATAATACAGTATAAATATAAATGCATTGAAGTACAAGATGACTATGATTAATAACATAAATTTTGATACTGATACAAAAAAATAGATGTATCGCATAAAGATAAATGCATCAAAGTATTAGATCACTACTTACATGTAGCCAAGCTTGTTTTTATTTGGATATTATGAATTTCATTTGAAATAGTTTTAAATGCTTATTCAGGGAAATACATTTTAAACTTCTATTATAAAATGTCTGATTATATTTAATTTAAAATAAATAGCTACAGATGTATGCAACAGACTAGAAAAAAAATGGACCTATTTGTTAACACAATTGTTGCCCCCCCTCCACAGTAAAACATTTGTTATTTTGGGAATGACTGTGAATAACTAAAGGAATAATATAAGAGATTATGGTTTTTTTACACACTTGCATAATTTTTTTTCAATAAGTAATGCTTGATTCATACATGTTATCTCCTTGGAGAAGATGGTGCACTATGGGAAGACTTCTCTAATACTGATTCTTCTTGGAGTTGTTCTTTTTTGTCCACTAGACTTTTTAACCGTGACAAATGAACCAATGCTCTGAAAGTACAATAATTAATAATATATTTTAACTTATTAATTCAAATTAGGTGGACTTTCTAATGGTCCAAAAATGACTTAATCCCAAAACCTTTGCTTAAAAATAGAATGAAATAACCTCAAAACTACAATAAGTATGATGGATCAATAAAAAAAGAGAGAAAGAATTGGCGATTATGCATTAATAAAGAAGGAAGGAAGCTTCACATTTTCACGACACAATAAAGTTAAACTTACTTTTCTAATGAATGTCCACCTGGTTCAGAATTAAAATTATAACCTTTTAAAGCTGGCATATTTAATGACACATGACTTGTATCACTCTGTTCTGATATTACCTAAAAAAACAAACAACAGTAACCAATATGACAAAATGTTTGAAGTGAAATGGGGATTAACGTCCTACTTTTCTGCACCGACTGGGTTAATGAAGACACGTAAACCATATAATGTGATACGAGGGAAATTCTGCCCAGACAGGTTTTTTTATGTGTATATGGAACCTCTGGTTTTTGTCCCATCTGAATGACTAGATGCCACCCTTGCAAGGTCCTCAGTCCTGTGCCACCAGCAAACACAAATCATCCTGGAAAATCCTGGGGAATTTTCTCAACAGTGGTTAACGAGCCAGCGTCTCACCCACTGAGCCACCACGGCTCCCCAATATAGTTGACTACAAGTTACAGATCTATAAATTGTGGACTACAAGTCTATAAATTGTGGACTACAAGTCTATAAATCGTGGACTACAAGTCTATGTTATTCAGAATGTGGACTACCAAGTCTATGTTATTTGTAATATGGACTGCAAGTCTATGTTATTCATAATATGGACTACAAGTCTATGGTATTTGGAATATGGACTACAGTGTTATGTTTCTCGGAATGTGGACTTCAAGTCTATGTTATTCGGAATATGGACATCAAGTCTTATGTTCTTCAGAATATGGACTACAAGTGGATGTTATTCGTAATATGGACTACAAGAAGTATGCATGAAATAAATCAGTTATTGATCCAGTATACAATCCACATGTATAATTCATATTCAGAAGTTTTATAATTTTTAACTAACAGGATAATAATTTTTCTATCAGTTGACAGACATTGAAATCATAAAATTAAAAAATATTCAGCTTTCTTTAATATGTGCAAGTTAGGGATTTTTTGTTCAACTAAAGGACTTAAATTCCCAGATCTTCCGAAATCTCAGGCAAGAAGTGAAATTTATGAGATGTCAACAAATACTTTGCTAAACAGACAGGCAGATATATCTCCTATGATCAGTTTGTCAACCTGCAACCCTAAGCAATTTCAATGTGTTAAAATGATACATTTCAAAATTTGCAAAAGACATGAGGAAAACAAAGATTGATTAATTTGTCAATCTATGTACATGTATGCACTTACTGATTTTGTTTCCCCATTGGGATCTTCAGCCTGTAGTTTAAATAATATTTTTTTCAAGGCTTCCATGCTACCTGGCTGCTGACCTCCGCTGAATGTTGGTGACCCTGACAATTTTGACTGTAATAACAAATGTTACATTTACTCCATACATTTTCATTTTCATCTATATATTCTAAATTATCTTTCTAGGATGTACATATACATCAATATCAATAACACTAAAAGTATCAATGTCGCTCGGTGACCATGACAATTTTGACTGTAATAGCAAAACAAATGTTACATTTACTCATTAACTATATCCCAAAAGTTTCGTTTTAAGCTATGTATTCTAAATTATCTTTCTAGCATCTACATACATCAATGTCATTTACACTAAAGGCATCATCAAAACTCGAAGATGTCCCACCTGAAGCAGAAGGATATTTCCTTATCTTTTTTTCTAAATAAAGTTGATACCTTTCTAATTCTTAATGTTTAAAGCTTAAAGCATTATTTGTTTACCTTGTGTGATGTAGTAGATGGACTTGTATGATTACCAACATAAACTGGGGGCTTTCTGAAATGTCAAGAAATGTATTCCAATATTATGCTGACAAGTGGATGTTTTGATATTCAGACTGACTGTATATACATGTATGTACCATAGCTTATCAGAGGAAATTCAATAATACATTTACTCTATTCCTACTAATCAAATACATCCTTTGGGGTTTCTTTTTTAGCAAAACGTATCTGCAGTATATTTCATGTTGAATGCCATCATGTTTAAAAATATTGAACCCCAAAACCACTGCTATTCATGGAACAGATCATGACTTCACAAACAAACATTCACAAAGACAAATGAATAGAATAGACAACTTACAATGGACAATGCTGTTCCCATGGCCTGTCACCATCTAATATAATACTGGAATCAGGGCTTTTACCTTTACCAATATGAGGACTAAATGTTACTGTCTGTCGACCAACTTTCTTAGGTGTTGCTAAAAATATTAAATACAGAAGTTATTCCAAACCTTGCTGTGAGTTTATAAACCAAAATATGAGAAACAGTTTTCATGTCAACATTGATTGTAATCATTATGTTAATATACTGAGAAGCAACATTCGTTGTAAGGTAAATAATATTCACTTAGAAGATAGCAATCCCACGTCATATTATTGTATTTTTTATTTGTCTATATCAAGAAAGTAAGATTTTGAGCAGGCCTAACGAAGAAAGCTTGCTTGCAGAAGTTTATTTTAGCATTTGGATATATTTTTTTTGTTAGCTATACAAGGAGGATTAACTGGCAAGTCATGCTTACCTTTTACCAACGTCAAAATAGCATTTCAAATCCAGATATGTCGACAATTAATTAAAATATCTCATATTTGATAGATAATGTTTTAAAGACAGACAATAAGCCGAGTGAAACAGACAGTAGTTCTCCTTCTATCACCTCATCACTCACAACTCCATAAATGAGATAATTATATATAAATGTACATACCTGTGGCACTAAGTAAAGGAATCGAACTGGCTCCAGTTATATCTGATTTAGGTAAGGTATTTTCACCTAACATCATATCCATACTGGAGCATCTTGGCATATTCTCTATAGAACTACTGCTGGCTTTCTGACCAGAGAATGGACTTGAGATATCAGCTATATATTTATCTAATGTGGTATGAAGAACTTTAGGTTGATGGTTATTCACTTTATCTGTTTCCAATTCAATCAAAGAATCACTTTCATTACCCTTCCCTAAATCGGTTTCTTCTAAAAACTTATCAACATCTGAAATGACTTTAGCAGTGTACATTCGTAGATCAGAATACGGTTGAGGATTAAAGCTTATACTTTTACTACTAAGGTCAGAATAGTTCAAACCAGGAGGTTGGGAATTAGAAAAATTAGAGCTTTCCTCCTTCAAAGATTTTAACTTTCCATCTTCTGTTCTTGGATAGGATTTTTGAGTTTGACTTTTGTCAGTCCATAAAGAATCAGATATATCAGATGGTGTGAGGCCATCTATCCAACTGGGTGGACCTTTACTGGATGTATCTAACTCTTGGACCCAACTTGGTGTTTTAAACTGAGTTTTTCCCGAAGTTGGTGAAACAGAACGACTACGCATTTGGCGCAACTTTTGCTTATAGCTTGGATCTTGAGGATTAATGGTTACTTTTGATTTATTCAAAGAAAAGCTTGGATCTGGAAAACTTTTCTCTACGTCAAAGGAAGAACTAGTTTGGTCAGTAATGACATCTTTGTTTTGATATCTGCTATTGTTATTAGATTTGTTTGATTCACGAGATCTGTTTCTTGGCGTTCTGTGATATGAAAACACATGGTTTGATTCTGATGGTTTTAATGCTTGGTAAGGATTCACAGAGAGTAAGACGTCCGTTGTTAAACTACCGATATCACTAGGACATTGTGGTACAGAATCATCTGATGTATTAAGTTTATCTAGTAATTCTCCAGACTTTGCTAAAGCGTCATCAACTGTAAGTGGAAACAAACAAATAGTAAAGAATGGTTGAAAGAAGCAAAATCTGTACATGCCTGTAATTGGAGTAGCTTGAGAGCATATTTGTCAGGGGGCAAATGTAGACATTAAAAAAAAAACCCTCGAAAATCCTGTGGAATGTGGCACCACACGAGGAGATAAGGGGGTCTGCAATAACACACAAAAGCACCCATACATGATAGACCCTTGTGTACATATTATTATGGTACTACATCAAGAGATTATTTAATCACTTGCCTTTGATAGTAAGGTCTGGTAATGGCAAGACAGGGAAAATTGAAAATGTTACATGTACAATCAATTTACTGAAATAATTTTGGCATTATTCCCTGATGAAATACATGTATTTGGTTGGTTGATGTTGATGAAACTGCTAACTACTCACCTTCTTGTTGCAGATAACTTTGTTCTCGTTTTTGTGATTTATCTAATGCTTTTTTCAATAAATGTATTTTTAAATCTTGTTTTGCTTTTTGTATTTCATCATTGATAATTTTTTGTCTCTGGATTCGTGACACTGTGGTTTCTAATTCACTAGATGATTTGGTGAATGAGGAATGATGGGTAGAATTTGTGGAACTGGTTAGTTGGTAGTCAAATTGGTCTAAATAGGCATCCAAAGCCTCAGATGCTGACTGGAATTCCTTCTGACCTATCTTTATACATCCTGGTTTACACTGTATACGACAAGAAGGCAGTAAATCAGCAGGTAGATCATCCAAGACACTTGACTTCTCCATATTTGCCTTTCTACCCGTCATCTTCTGGAAGCTCTCTCAGCGATGACCTCTCCCACTTTAAGCACATTGATTACTAATAATTTTCGAGAATTTTCTTCTAGTTTCTTACAGTATCCTACATCTGAAACATTATCATTTTCTACAACAGCCTAAAAGCAAAAAAAAAAGAAATAATTAAATAAATAAAACCATTTAAAAAATAAAGAATTTATATAATTTGTACATTTAAATCATTTATGAGCTATCCAAAGCAATTTTTTTGTCAGTTTAACATTCTAAATTGTACTCAGTATGGTACATAGAAAAATAGTTTTTTGCCATAAGCTTACACTATTAAAATGAGGCCCCCCAGAGAGGATTATAGTGTCAGATTTAAAATGAGCTATATTATAGGAAACATAATATATTGTTTAATCCTATATAAGTTCAATGGTCGGGTATGATCATTTTATTGAGAATTATTCAGTAGACATGTAATAATACTGTATATACCGGTATATACATCTAATTTATGAAAGCCAAATTTTTAATATCTATAAATACTTTCATAGACATTTTCTTTCCTTTTCTGCAAATATATATTTCAATCTTTAATTATTAAAATCTTGTTTAATTTTGGGAAACAATTTTTGATTGATAATTCATTTTGTTGCTTTCATTTGTCCAGTTGTTACTTCTAATGTCATTTCATTCATTTCTAAACATTTTTTATACTATAACATGCAGTGCAATGCAGTGAATGCACATTGTCATTAGCTCAATAAAATACAAAATTTCATACATGTATATATTGCAATCAGCTTGCATATATTTTACTGCTTTATAATGAGTAGAAATATTGCAATATTGTTTCCAGCTGCAAGACGCAGCCCTAGAATATTATTATGTATGCCTTATACAAGTATGCCTCTTAGATGATTAAGTTAACCAGATTTAAAAACACTGGCGTTTGTTATACCAGTTTCTTTGAGAAATCCTATCTTGGCCGTCTGAATGGATTGACATACAAAAAAATGACATTTTTAAAATACCTCAGATATATAAGTATATGAATACCATAATAGTTTAAGCTAGAGGCCTACATGTGAAAATCATTCTTTGAATTATGACCTTGCAATCAATGCCATATTTGACATTGTCTTAATTACGATACTTCCTCAAAATGTTATTTGTTACATGGATCTGTATGATTGTTTGGATCAACAATTAATCATCCTCAAAACACTTCTTACACTATATATTATTATAGTATAATAAAGAGCCATCCCTGATAACTTCTAGTATTAATAGTAACTGTATTCTCAATACATTTCTCTGTATACATCGCCAAACAATTTTGAGGAGCAATTAGTCTCAATCGAATTTTAATCTTCTTTCTTGCAATGTTAATTACCACATAAAACTGGCAAATACAACAATTCGGAGAGTAAAAAAAAACGTATAGACTATAGATAGAGGTCAAAACAATCATGATATTGTACAGTAAAGTCAATTAATTGTTGAACGAAACGGTTTTCTCAAATATTTCTGTAAAAGATGTAAGGGTAGCTATCTGCACATATTGGGCTATCTGCACATATTGGGCAGTACAGAAATAAGGAGTAAAAGTTAGTAATTTACATTTTATACAGCAAAGACGTATCTTGGAAATAGATTCTCCTCTGCCTGCTTGAATTTCATAGATATCTCACCTAGAGACTCAACAATAATTTCAACGGATACATAACCAATCATAAAACAATAAGTGCTACTTTGGGTTTGCTTGAAATACTTTGGTAAGTCACAAACTACAAAGTTAGTTTTATCAAAGAAATACAGCATTTTTGCTCTTGTTACATACACATGTACATAGCAAACTGTTACAAGGTTTACTTTCCAACCAACCTCCAGTAGAGTAGTGAAGTTATCAATAATGCTTCTTGAGACAATTACACATACTTACACTTGATTAAATTCAATATTACTATCAAGAAAATGAAATAAATGTTTTCTGTATATTTCTGTATAAGCTTACAATCTAAGTTTTCAATTAAACAAAAAATGTCATGTTTAACAATGGATTCACAAAATACCAATACAATCCATTTAGTAATTTTTGTAATATTAGATTACTAGATGAAATAAATAAATACAAGCTTGATTCTCAAATTAATTTCCATATTTTTGGAAGTTATTTAAACTATCAAAATGATCAAAAATAATGAAATTTACCTTCTGTCTGAAAATATAATGGAGTACTACGGGTAACAGTTGGAGCCTAACGTCCTACTGTGTTGCCATTAAACAATGGATTAAGATCTGTTCCCAGTATAATTCTATTAATATGGAGATCAATAACTCAGATTAAATCAACTTAAACTGCCAAAAGAGGATTAAATCAACAATACTACTCATCATGCTATAAATTTACCCAGTTACAGTGGGTATAATAGGTGAGATTAAACTTAAATATCACTTTGATATTCTTAAATCTAACATGTACACAGTTATTGCCATGATAATTTCAATGGCTGTATAGGTATCTGTGTGAGCTTATTCAGTTTTGAATAATGTTTTAGATATTAGGACATGATTAGGCATGTGAAATACAGAAATTGTGAATTTATAAAATTACACCAAAAGATGATCTAAATTCATTATTTTATTCACTTCAGTTTGTATTTTCTCAGAGGTACATGTACAATATTCCAAAAGAGAGAGAGAGAGAGAGAAATGGGGTTTAACATCCACTCGACACAAACTAGGTCTTTTCCGGACTAACATATGGTTCAATTTTATTTCCATAATTTACTTGCGCGTAGGGGTCTTTAGCAGTGGGAGGAAACAGGAGGACCCGGAGAAAACCCACAAGGTTGGACAGGCGACCCTACTCCTTGTCACGTACAACCGCAGATCGAAACCACGCCAGTTGATATTCCAAAAGACAAATACTGACAATCAGATCATTTTACATGTATACAATAAAAAGGAGTTTTATTAAAAGAATATTAGTGCGAAATGAAATGGGGTTTAACGTCCTACTGTTCTGCTCCGAACTGGGCTAATGAAGAAGAACATACACCATACAGTGTGCTATGAGGGAAATTTTGCCCGGACAGCGGCACTACGGCCTACTCTTATATTGAATTCCAACTGTCAAGGAATCTTTTACGTGCATGCCAATTTGTAAACGGGACCTCGGTTTTCCATCCCATACGAACAATTAGACATCTGTCCTTGTCAGGCCCTACAACCTGCACAACTGACAAGGAGGAACCATGCCAGAAAATCTGGATGAACTTTCTCGGCCAATGCAGGGATCAAAAACCCGACCTCCAGGCTAGCGAGCCAGCATCTTACCCACTTAGCTACCGTGACCCTCGAATATTAGTGCAAAGTATAATTCAATCTGTATGTCAATTATTTATGGCCATCTAAAGTTCCTATTACTTTCTCTATTCATTATGCAAGAACTAAATCTGCCTATTGCACTGCAGGTCTTTCTTTGGGTCTGAAAAGTTATTGAAATTATTACACGTACTAATTAAAGACATTAATTAATTTATCTAGACCGTAATCAACTCTCGATGCCATCGTTAGCTTGCGATATTTACTGTATCTAAATACATTTTGCGATGGATAAGTTAACCTAAAAATGGATAAACAAGACTATGTTTATAATCATACCAGTGTTAGTAATGACGACTGAGACTAGCCTAAAATTAAATCGCTAATATCTTGGTTCAGAGTGAAGCAATATGAAATTTTCATCTTATTTTGTTTTCATTATCTATTTTCTAGCTATTATAACGAGAACTGCCCGCTCTTTATCTAATCTTACCTAAGGCCCCTTAGTTTAATGCAGTCACCTTGTTTTTTCCATGTAGTTGATACCTGGACAAAACTTCATTTGTCTCCATGAGATATCTAACCTATATGTTGTTTTAAAATTTAATCATTGAGATTACTATGTAAAGAATATTTTTATCTAAGTCCTTATTTTTGTTCAGCTTCACTACTATATTGGGGCTTTAATAAAAGCTAATAATAATGAAACAATAAGGCGGTTACATGTACCATGTAATGAAATAGAGAGAGAGAGAGAACATGTAGGTCATTTCAATAATTCACTTGTCTGTAGGGTTCTTTAGTCCTGGAAGGGAAACCGGAGAAAACCCACAAGGTTTGACAGGCAACCCTACTCCTTGACCTTGTCATGTTCAAGCAAGGAATTGAAACCATGCCATATCATTCAATGCAGTTGATACTGATAGACCTTCTGATCCAACGTACACCTATTAATCCTTCGTCCACCCTATCCTCTACCATGCAATCAAACATAAATACACATGTACCCTTCCAGTTGCTCATGTAGTTGGCGCTACATGTATTCAGACTGAGTTTTGAAAAGGATATCACTAGAACTTTACATACAGGTAATGAAAACATTGACCTTTACACATGTAATGCCTTTAAAGATTGGATACTAGCACTTTGTGATATTTATCTTTTTCGATAAACACCATATCACTGAAAAAATATTGTTGTGTTTATTATATTGACCAGAAACTTGAATATTGTAAACATAAAATATCCTGATTTATTGTGGTATGATCCACAGGCAAGGTATATACATGTACAGTACTTTGGGCTTCTTCATGGAAATCAAGGCATTTTGATTTGAATACAAGTCTTACCGGTATGTTCATATTAAGATTTATATAATTGTTTTAAAAATCCCTCACTCTAGTCTAACTTAGGTTTTGATATTTGATAACTAGGTGGGTCTAAATTTGAATTCATGCATATCAAAATCAATTACATTTAGCTTTATGATGAAAGTGTTATCCCTTTATTTTTATAATGAATTGTGCCATTTTAATTCATTGAGTCACAGTGAGTTAGTTGTCAGTGAGTTGTCAGTGAAAGAATATAGCCTATAGTAGAGATCTAGTCTTTAATCTGGCTCTTTTGATGTTTGATGACTATCGATCGAGCCATCTATTTATGTAACTTGAGGATCATCAAATAAATTCGAACAAAAGGATTATCGAGCCATCCCATAAATGAAATAACGGGCGAACAGCTAGAGTAAAGCACCGACCCCTACGAAAATTATTATTATGAACTGCAGCGTTAGGCACAGTCACCAGTGTGTAGGAATTCGTCTTAGACCTGGCTAGTGTGTTGATATTCGGATCTAAATTGTCAACAAGTACAAACATACATTATTATGTATTATCTTATCAGGTCGATAAAATAAAAGGTTATTGATCGAATCGGCTGAAATTCGCTGTGAGTCTCTAGTCAACCTTTATAAATTATATCAAAAACGTCAAATAAAGTTGTCACTGGAGTCTAGACTGACAGTGACAACAAACAAGTCAAAACCTGAATTTCGTTGCACTGCTGGCAGACGAATTTTCAAGAGAAGTTGAAATATAGGTCTTTCTTTGACTTGAAAATACTGTTATTTCATCTATTTCTGATGGTGCCGATGGTGTGAAAAAGTCACTCTTGGAAATTTCTAATTTTAAATGGGATCTACCAAGAAACATCTTTACAAACCTACGAAAGATAAAATGTAAACACAATAAACACCACCGGAAGCATTCAAAGATGGCGCATTTGATAAAGCGCATGCGCATCTTTATCCCCGCCTCCACTACAATTATGGAAGACATGACGAGACATTGTAAATCTTGTTTGTTAATTAATGATAAGAGCTCCGGGGCCTTAGTGAGAATATGAATACCTATAACATTAGATAATTTATCACGTGTCTTTTTATTGATGTAATCAACCATTTTCAAAAACGCGATACAAAGGCATATGTTAAAAATTTCAAAATTGCACTCTTTCTTTTTCGTTACATCTTAAGGGAACAAGAACTTCATTTTAACAAATCCTGGCAATACATTCTAAATTTAGCAGATTAACCAAAATTAATTTTTACCCTTGCGCAACCTTCCGTTACGTTTTTTTTTTCAGATTTGGTGTGAAGCATTATGGTCGTGAGCAGACGAACCCTTATATTATCGATATTCAGAGTTCCGTGGACATACCCCAAGCTTTTTCAAAGACTTTCCGAACGCGATTTTTTTTTCATAGTGAAGTATTGGGGCAATGGGAGGATGAGCCCAGTCTTAGGCGAAATTTGGGAGTATGTTGCATGGCAACCGCTTGCTTATAATTAAGCTACACACTACTGACAGTAATATTTACTGAGGTGGAGAACTTTAATCGTCAATAAAAAAAAGATATATATATATATCAGACAAGAATGCAATTGTTTCTAACAAATCATGATTTAATGTACTGTAAAATAATCTTCCAGTAGCCTACTGTTGGGAGTCGCGGTGACTCAGTGAGTAAGACGTTGCCATGCTAACTTGGGGGTCCCGTGCCACCAGGTAATATTGGGCTGTGTGGAACATGCTAGAGTCGTTTTGTAGATTATCTGACATTATGTTTGACACTGGTTACGCATTATGTTTATGATTGTAATGTTGAAACCGGGGGGCGCCAAAACTCAAAACGATGACGCAAAGCTCGTCATTGTGTTTCTCTCACTTCGCCCCTGGTGGGCAGTGTGAGGAAATAGTTTGGAAAATTTGTTCTAATGCTGTTGCAAATGGCATTTTGTTCTCAAATTATACCAATATTCTGCAATATTTGTCAAAATCAGAATAATTTTGGACCCTACCGTTAATAGAGGGGTTATTTTTATATATTTTGCAGTTTCCCAAATTGTGTGTATTCACAGTAAACATGAGGGAATTACCGATTTGACACGCTGAATATCGAAGTCGTTATTTTTTAAGCTATCTCAGTCAGATTATGATTCATGTTATTTCTATTGTTGTCTGTTTACAATATATATATCCTAGTCAAATGTTCAACCAGGGGTTTTAGGCCTACATATCGATTCTCGGGAGACATATCTGAGATGAGTCCCTGAAATGCCATTTCCTGGACTTTGGGGTAAGATTTTGCAGAATTCTGAGTAGGCTATAAACAGGGGAATTAATTGTTGGTATTTATTAGGAAATTTGCAAGAACGTACAAAGTAGCCTACTGTGAATCTGTGACCACTTCTGAGGGTGATAATAATTCATTTACATGAACCTATTAATAATATCTTTGATATATTGTTGTGGTGAATATACAGAAATTAGCGCTAATTTTAAGTCAAGTTTGACCACCGATCGGCGATTTTGTCGAGATCGACCATGTCCGTCATTGCGTTGTTCCTGCTTCTAATTACTGAAAGCATAACAGATTTTTTTACTAATTTGAGCTTTGAAAAACTGTGATATTGTGATATCGAATCAAAGCAATTATACGTATATACACACATTTGCAATTTTGCCTTCTATTTTGGCATTTTTTGTTTACGGTAGCCCAATGGGCAATTTTGCGACCAACTGCACTTATTTTGCGACCCACTATTTTTTTTTCCTGGGGTGTTCTACACCCCCCCCCCCACACACACACACATTTACGCACCTGTAGTCAACGTTTATAGTTTATTTCACCCGTTTATTTCAGAAGACGTAAATTAATACATCATGTAGGCCTATAATAAAGAACTTTTTAATGAAGCTGCAATTTGTGTTTCCCTGCATAAATTTTAATAGCGTTTCATTCTACCGCCCTGATCCAAAATTTATTAGGTTTATTGTTATTGTGTACATCCTATCCAATTTTATTTTTAAAGAGTCGGGTATAACCTTTAGATTTATATGAGAATATTATAAGCAGGCGTCGAAAGCCACTATATAATAGGCTACATCTATTATAATAGACCGGTATCTCGACTGGTATCTCGTGGACTTTAGAAATCACGTGACTTACATCAAGCTGAACAAAATGGCGACAGAAGACGTGCATCCTTACAACTCTCTGCTGAAATCCATTTCAGTTGACGGAAAGGACTTTAAATATTATGATTTGACTAATCTAAAAGATGAACGATACGATAAACTTCCATTCTCTATTCGGGTGTTGTTAGAATCCGCTGTCCGTAACTGTGACGAGTTCACCGTCAAAAAATCGGATGTTGAAAACATTCTCGACTGGTCGACAAAACAAAATGAAAAGGTGGAAATACCTTTCAAACCGGCTAGAGTTATTCTCCAAGATTTTACCGGAGTTCCCGCTGTCGTTGATTTTGCTGCCATGCGAGATGCTGTGAAGAAAATGGGTGGAGATCCGGAGAAAATTAACCCTATTTGTCCAGCCGATTTGGTGATCGATCATTCTGTTCAGGTTGATGTGGCAAGAAGTAGTGATGCACTGGAGAAAAATCAAGAATTAGAATTTGAACGCAACAAAGAAAGATTCCAATTCTTGAAATGGGGTGCCAAGGCACTGAAAAACATGCTGATTGTTCCACCAGGCTCTGGTATTGTACATCAAGTTAACTTGGAATATTTGGCAAGAGTGGTGTTCAATTCAAATGGAACCCTGTATCCAGATAGTTTAGTTGGAACAGATTCCCATACAACAATGATCAATGGTCTTGGAGTAGCTGGATGGGGTGTAGGAGGTATAGAAGCAGAAGCAGTTATGCTTGGTCAGTCTATAAGCATGGTCCTACCCGAGGTCATTGGTTACAAATTGATTGGAAAGCCAGGGCCATACATCACCTCGACCGACGTGGTATTAACAGTCACCAAACATTTAAGACAAGTTGGAGTAGTTGGGAAATTTGTTGAATTTTTTGGACCAGGTGTGACTGCCCTCTCCATTGCAGACAGAGCTACCATTTCCAATATGTGCCCAGAATATGGAGCAACTGTAGGATTTTTTCCAGTGGACGAATCAAGTCTAACATACCTAAGACAAACTGGTCGAGAGACAGAACAATTAAACATTATAGAAAACTACCTAAAAACAAACAAAATGTTTCGAAATTACTCCAATTCTGAAGAAGACCCAGTCTTCACAAAGGTTATTGAACTTGACCTCGGGAGCGTTGTTCCTTGTTGCTCTGGTCCCAAACGACCTCACGACAAAGTTCCAGTAACAGAAATGAAATCAGATTTTCAAACTTGTCTTAACAATAAAGTAAGCTTTAAAGGCTTTGCAATTCCTGCTGATAAACAAGAAACAAAGGTTCCAATCATTTATGATAATCAAGAACATATATTGACCCATGGTTCTGTTGTTATTGCTGCCATTACCAGTTGTACAAATACAAGCAACCCATCTGTAATGTTAGGCGCTGGTCTATTGGCACGGAACGCTGTTGAAGCAGGTCTTACAATCAAACCATATATCAAAACCAGCTTGTCTCCAGGTAGCGGAGTTGTGACCTATTATCTGCGGGAGAGTGGTGTCACACCATATCTAGAGAAACTTGGTTTTGATATAGTGGGCTATGGTTGTATGACGTGTATTGGAAACAGTGGTCCGTTGCCAGAACCAGTAGCTGAAGGCATTGAGAAAGGAGATTTAGTCGCATGTGGTGTTTTATCTGGTAATCGTAACTTTGAGGGAAGAATCCATCCATTAACTCGTGCCAACTACTTGGCTTCACCACCATTAGTCATCGCATATGCCATTGCAGGAACAGTCTGTATTGATTTTGAAACTGAACCTTTAGCCAAGAAAGAAGATGGAACCCCCATTTTTCTGCGAGATATCTGGCCTTCAAGAGAGGACATCATGAAAGTAGAAAAAGAATTTGTTGTTCCTTCCATGTTTAAAGATGTGTATTCCAAAATCACAGAAGGAAATAAAAGGTGGAACTCATTGGAGGTACCAGACAGTATGCTGTATCCATGGGATGAGAAGTCCACATATATAAAATCACCTCCTTTCTTTGAAAAAATGACAAAAGAAATCCAACCTCCATCTAGTATTGAAAATGCCCACGTTTTACTGAACCTTGGGGATTCGGTCACAACAGATCATATTTCTCCAGCAGGCAGCATTGCCAGAAATAGTCCAGCTGCAAGATATCTCGCCAGTAGAGGTCTAGTCCCCCGAGAGTTCAACTCCTATGGATCCCGCAGAGGTCATGACTCTGTCATGGCAAGAGGTACATTTGCTAATATCCGACTATTGAATAAGTTCATTGGTAAGCCTGGGCCTAAAACCATCTACATACCAAGCGGAGAAGAGATGGATATATTTGAAGCAGCAGAAAGATATCAAAAAGAAAATAAGCAAGTTATAGTTTTAGCTGGCAAAGATTATGGAGCAGGATCGTCAAGAGATTGGGCAGCTAAAGGCCCTTGGATGCTTGGAATTAAGGCTGTTATCGCGGAAAGTTATGAAAGAATTCACCGAAGTAATCTTGTCGGAATGGGAATCATTCCATTTCAGTACTTGGAAGGACAAAATGCAGCTAGTCTTGGTCTGACCGGTAAAGAGACATTTTCTATCAATGTCCCAGCCGATGTTAAGGCAGGTCAGAATTTGACCATTAATATAAGCTCCGGAAAATCATTCGAAGTGAAGACCAGATTTGATACAGAAGTTGAGCTGGCTTATTTCAGACATGGTGGAATTCTTAATTTTATGATCCGAAGTATGGTTTAGAAAATTGAACAATGAAATAAAAGAAAAATTGTGAAATTTGTGATTAAATGCAGTTCATTAATACACAGGCTACATGTAATAATATTAGAACATTGTTTTTCTTCAAAATACTAAAAGCCAAAACAATCCCAAATTGTGTGAAATGTTTAAAACATGATGATCTTGTTTTAATGCTGAGTAAATGTATGGATGAAGAAATAAAATGTTTGAGCCAATAGTAAACATTTATAGTGTTGTCAAGTACCAGAGTGTAAAATGTGTGTTCGAGAGAATCCAGATAATCATTATTATACATATGGTGATTGTACAAACTCTTCTACTGCGCAACTGATAAAACATGTCTTCTATTATAAAGTTAAACAAATCTACAAATAGAACTTTGTTGTTATGGTTAACAATGTTAAAACTGATAAACAAGAAACAGTTATTGAAAAAAATATAAGCTTTAAATATAAAGTAATCCAGATTTAAAGTAAAAATGTGTCATATATCTGTTAATTGGTAATTATACTGTACTCTTCTTTACTGTATCTTAAAATAGAATGATAACAAAGATTAAAATAAAGATGCGACGTCATTCTTTGAAGTTGACGTATTATTATTTCAATTCATGATAATCATAATAATGTACAGGCAACGGGCCATTCGTGCATTATTTATACAATGGTATATGAATTACTGGACTTGTGTGACGATTTCATTGAAATGCACATGGAAGGTAGTGTTTGTATTTGTTGTTTAATGGTCTCGAGCAAGACATTGCATCCCACGTAATATATTGATACAACACTCTTGACTAATGCCCTTGTGAAGTATAAATATTGCTTTAAATGCATTTAAATCTCCGCTAAAGACGTTCCTGTTTACATAAGCGTTTCCAGTGTTCAATGGAGAAAACTTGAAAAGCGCAATAGAAACTTCTGTTTTAGTATTATTGCGCTATATAAATACAGGATTATTATTTTTAATGGGTATGCCTTGATCTCGACCCTTCAATTACAATTAGATTAAGATTCATTTTTTGTCACTTATTTAATTCCTCCTTGGATGTAGAAAATAAAGATAAGATCAATAAGCTTACATATTGAATAATTATTTACCTGTAAAATATTAATTAGTTTTTCTTTTCTAAAAATTAAAATTATTCAGATATAGAACCTTGATGAAATAATGTTACCTTTAGAATACTGGTAATGAATCTTTTGATATCAATGTGTTTATTAGCTTTATTACATGGATACTGGATACCCTTAAATATAATTATTTTTCAATAACTGTGTAACAGAATAAGGCAATATCCTTGAAATGTAGATATAGTATCATGTATAAATGAAGAAGCAAACACTAATCAATTGCAATTGTCAAATCCTTCCCTAGGTACACACGTATGTTATTTATCCCTATCCCTGGTAATGTCTTTCATACATGTTAGGGATAGGCATGTTAGTTGAGAAACTTTTTATTCCATCGCGCCAAAAATAAAAGCTATCTGTATGTTATTGATATTAAATGTCATATCTGATAATTTGTGTACATTTATGGATCTTCTAATGCTATAAGTACAGTAATAGTTTTGCGAGCCAATAGTAAAAGGTGTAACAAAAATTACCAAAGCTACTGTGCAAGTTGCTCTGTAACCCTGGTATCATTTAATATCAAATCTTTATTTAAAAATTTCTAAAAATCGTTTAAAATCACCCAAAATCATCTAATTTGTTATTGTGTCTAATTTAAAACTGACCATTCAGTTTTGATAATGAGTGTCTAATTTACAAGTGTTTAATTTCTCAATCACTGTTAAAAAATAAACAACCCAATTGGATATTGATGTATAACGATTAATTTTTAAATAGTGGTTAGGAAATTGAATACTTGTAAATTGGTGATTTTAAATAATTTTAAAATTTTTTAAAGAAAGGTTTGATATTAAACAAATGTGAAATAAATTAGTGATAGATATACAAGATTAAATGATACCTGGGTTACAGTGTTGATTCATACCATGGTTAACTATGTACATGTACTGAGAATTCAATCTTTATTTAACAATAGGTGAAAAACTTGATTCGATTTATTATCACATAGTGTTAACTAGAATTGCAATGAGACGGTGAAGTTTGTACAAATTTACAAGTTAAAATCTTTAACACAAGTTAGTGCAATGTTTACATATGACAGAGATAGCTAATGCAGAATTTCAAGTTAACACTTTATAAAAATAAACATTTTTAAAGATTATATTGAACTAGCAGTAGAGACCTGTGTGAAGTTGTTGTATTAAGAAGTCTTGTGGACTTGCAAATTCACATGAACTCTTTTGGGTGTTTTTGGATGACAATATCTGAAATGTTGTTAATGTCACGAACAGGACTTGAAGCTTTTTGTTTAAAATAAAATTCAGTGAATCAAAAATGAAATGAAATGTACTTGATGTTACAATTGAAGAAGGCAGAAAATTTCACCCCCAAAATAGGGTAAATTTGTTGTGAATAGTCCGCTACATCAATCTATTGTCAGTAAGAAATAGTAGTGTATACTGTATCAGTGATACAAATTTAAAAGTTTATTAAAAAAAATATTGATTTGTTGTATGTATTATATACTGGATAACCTGATTCTTTTTACATTTGTTCTAAAAATTATAGTTGTATTTTGTCAGGTACTGCTGAAACTATATTAATAATATCAGTAAAAAGTATGATTTGTTGTCAAATTTGTGACAGGCAAATTGACATTCACTAGAGAAATAGTGTCTGACAAAGCCTGATCTGTGCCTAACATTGTCTGTGACATATGGCTTATTTCCAGGTGTGATTGTTTATCTTGATCCTTTGTCTAGACATATATTTTGGAACACCAATTTCTTTAATTTTAGCTTTATGGTATATATTATACTATATTATATAAAATTTACATTATTTGACTGACTTTAATAAGCTGTACTGTAATATCTAAAGCACTTTAATGCTTCATAAAAATTCTCTAAAATTTATTATTTTTTGGAATACATTCACCTTCTCTAATCAATATTTCAGAAAGGGTATATATTGACTGTAGATTATCTAGCATGATTTCATAACCAGGTAGATTTAGCAAGCAAATAGAACCATTTCTTCCAGTTGTATCTGTACAAAATTCATTTGATTGAATTGAATTATGAATATATTTGTACTATGATTAAAATGAATGAATGTATTGTCTCGACATGGCCAGTTGATAAGTGAGAAAATAACTTACGAGACATCGTAATAGATTTGAAGGCATTTATGTCGATATAAAATTATTCAATCAACAAGCTTAGTATTATAGTATTTATTGTTTTCCACGGGGGGGGGGGGGGGGGGGGGGGGGGGTGTATTAAAAGTGGGTCTACCTGTCCTGAGTATTAAAAGCATCCAGAGAGTGAAGTTTTGTTTCAAATCTTCATATTAGAATTACATTTAGGCCTACTGAGGCAGTGACTACATAGCAAAGGCTTTAATATGCAATAGCTTTTCTTCTGGTATTTTGATCAAACTTGAACTATACCATCAGTATCAGTTACCAAAGTTTGACTACTTTCAATGGTCTTTTAACATGCAGGCTAATATGTACACAGGACCTTTCTTTTCTTCCATGCAACTGAGTAGACCCCCCCCCCCCCCCAAAAAAAAGAAAGAAAAAAACCTTGCACTAAATACTGGAAACCACCCTAAATAGGTAACCCGGAGAAGGGCTATACTATAAACCGAAAACTAACCCTAACCCTAACCCAGGCACACAGAGGACCAGGCTCCCGGTTACCTATTTAGGGTGCCAGTTTCCGGGTTACCTATTTAGGGTATTTTCCGGTATTTAGTGTGTTTTCCGGTATTTAGTGTTTTTCCGGTATTCAGTATAAAATGGTGTTTTCCGGTTGTTTTCCGGGTGTTTTCCTGTGTTTTACGGTATATAGTATTGCCGCCGGTTGGTGTATATTAGTTGTATGGCAAGGATAACTTTGCAGTAATTTTAACAAGCGTTAACAACATGTATTCTATGAGGATGATATGGGTCCAGAGCCCATGTTGAATCCCTAATCATAGCTCAGTGTAAAAATGATTATGCAACTGTATAACATGGATATCTAGATTCTCAGGAACTGTGGTGGCTCAGTGAGTAAAACACTGGCTCGCTAGACAAATCTTGGGTTTGCACCTGGTGTTGGCCGAGAAAGTTCCCTGTTTCTCCCTAGTCAAGACAACAACAGTCTAGTCGTTTCCATGGGACAAAAAAAAAGAATCCTATAAAGACATTGGTGTGCAACTGTGCACGTAAAAAAAAAAACCCTTGACTGTTGGAATTTGATTTGAGCTGGCTGTAGCACTGCTGTCCGGCCAAAATTTCCCTCATAGCCCACTGTATGGTGTATGCCCATTTTCATTATCCCAGTCGGTGCATAAAAGTGAGACATTAAACCCCATTTCATTTCATTTCATTTACTTAGAATCTAATTATATGATCTGTAGAGTAGCCTACTTAATCAACTGATTTTTTTAACTCCCTAAATTTACAAGTAAACTGTTGTCAAGTAATAATTGACCCAGTTTAATATAGTGTTAGTAAACATGTAGATAATAATATAGGTACAATGCTTATTTAAGACCTACAACTATTGACTTAGGTAGATAAGACACAAATAATTGTGTTACTAATAAACATTTGTGCACACACTGACCCAACCAAGAAAATCATGCTTTTCCTGTGATATTTTTATTATCTTAGGTATGTTGATGGATGTGGGAAATGTAACCAAACATATTCTGGCTTTGTGCGGCTTCAGTATGTCCTTCCAGAAATAAATTCTTGAACTGCTCTTTCGGTATTGTGTGCCTTTTTTGCCATACAACTTAGATCACATTCAATTATAAAGGGAATGTCCAAGAATTATTTGACCTAGATATCTGAAAATTACAAAAACATAAACTGTGATACTAAAATTGTTGCTGGACCATATTATTGCTCTCCATGGTTGTAGGGGGGTTGAGTGGCCGGATAAGGTTGGTCATTGAGTCGAGTGGCGTAGAGTTGCCTGTCCAACTTCATGGGTTTCCTCTTGGTTCCCTGGTTTCTTCCCACAGCTAAAGACCCCTATGCCCAACGGAATTATAGAAATAAAATTGAACCATATGTTAGTCCCCAAAAGTCCTAGTTTTTGTCAAGTGAACTCCACTTTAATCTCTCTCCAAGGTTGTAACTGTCCGTTTTAAAGGAAGGTAAAAAAAAAAATATGTCTAAAACATATGTTGCTGTGCTTATAGGTTATCTGTCATTCTTTTCATATATGTATAAATATGTATATATACTAGAGCATGAAGGTTACTGATAAATGTTTTTAATATGTGTATATGGCAGGCTTGAGATAAGAACCCCCAATTCAAAACATCTACAAAAGAGTAAAGAAAATTCTACATGCCTGGCTAAAATATATTTATTGATTCTCTTCTAAATTATATTTTCGGGGTTGGAGAATCAGTTTTTCATAAGAAAATAGTTACTCTACTTAGGCCCTACTAGAAAAATCTGAGATGGATGGGCAATTCAGAAAGCTTATTTTGGGGGAACTATTCAACCTCCAAACGGTTACAACGGTTAGAGTAGGTGTTTTTATTTACAATTTTAATAATATTATAAACTTGAAATTACTGGCCATTCGGCAGCCATGCAAGAGCTTTTTTATTGCCTACCTTGAGGGGTTTTGGCCATAATAAATACTAGGGTCTTTTATAGGACATATAAATAAAAGGTCTAACCACAGCCAGACCATATAAATTGTTATAGCCGTATTGTCAAATCTTTAAACTGTGTTTTATGTAATATTATACATGTAAGTCAAATAAATTCTACTGACACAACCGTATAAATAGTGGTGACCTTTACCCAGCAGTTCATTATATATTATGAAATCACAGAAGACATCAACAGTCAATGGTTAGATATAATTCAATGGATTTAGACTAGGCAAACAATTGGTTCATCAAAAGCTAAAATCTCTAGTTTTATTTTGTAACTTTTGTAATAGACATCTTGGCATGGAACTAAACCACATACATTATTGAGTCCATTCACAATCCAAAAATTATCTGAATCATCCCCACTCTTAAAGTGAAAGATGAATCTCAAATAGAATTATCGGTTCAATTTAGTTCATTATGTACAAGATATATGGAATAGAAATTTTGTTGTCAATGAAAATGTAATGATAGACCTGTTTAAATCCGATTAAATCTATGCTGGGACTAGTGTAGGTATTTTTTTTTTCTGAATTATGTGTTAAATAATCAATGTGAGTAGATATTAGTGTGGATTAAGCTGTGAGAAATTTGATAGTTTACTGACAAATACAAATGATGCATGGTTACTTTAATAATAACTCTGATCTGAGAAACTATCTCTTAAACTAGTCAAAGAGATGATAAATTTTAATGGCCAGCATACATGTATATATTTACACCTGTTTGGGCTATTAGTCTCTTAATTAATGAGTTATAAAGATAAACAGCTTTTATATCTACAGGACCTGCATCTATTCTGATGACAAGCTATATAATAAATAAATTTAAAATACAGATTGACCTCAATTGGCGTACCATTATTTCAAATAATGGTGCGGGAAATGTGCCAAGGGTACATTTTTTTATACTAGTTGAAATATTGGACCAGCATGACATATACTCAGCCAAATTAAAAACTTGACACTGATAAATTTCAACAAAAAAAATTTTCTGGTAAGTCAAATAAATTTTAAAGTGTTTCTAACGATAGTAAGTAGTAAGAAGCCTTTAATTTCATTTTGAGCATATAAAGATGAAAAACCTGAAAAACTCGTGAGGTCAATCAATGCAAGTTTGCTTAAACTGAACACGCACACGTAACTTGATTTGGAAAAACAAATTAAAATTGTTATTTTCATCTTTGTTAGAAAATGTCGCGCCTTTCAAATGTAGAACGTCTACGTGCTATAGGTAGGCTCTATGCTGGTCAGTCTGTGGTCACTGTTGCAAGAGCCTTTAATTGTTCACGCCAGACAATAATTAATCTTAGAATGAGAGTGCTTCAAACTGGAACTATTGACGACCGCCCAAGGGCGGGAGTGCCACGTGTGACGTCACTCCAGGAAGATCAAGCAATACGATTACGTCATCTTAGAAATAGATTTGTCACTGGAAGGGTAACTGCACAAACTGTTCGAAATCGCTTGCAGGCTGCTGGTCTTCGAGCTCGGAGGCCCTATAATGAACCAATATTGACACCTCTTCATCGCCGTAACCGACTTGTGTGGGCCACAAGACACATAAGATTTACTAAAAGACAGTGGAATTTGGTTGTGTTTAGTGACGAATCTCGATTCACTTTGAGATTTGCCGATGGCAGGGTCCGAGTGTACCGCAGACGGGGTGAACGTTACCCTCAAGTATGCGTCAGAGAAGTTGACCGATTTGGTGGCGGCAGCGTCATGGTTTGGGGTTCTTTTTGTGCACATGGACGTTCTCCTCTTGTTATTGTCCAAGGGAACTTAAATGCTGTCCAGTACAGGGATCAGATTTTGCAACCTGTTCTTCTTCCGTTTATGCAGAGACATGGGCCTGGACTAACGTTTTAACAAGACAATGCTCGACCCCATACAGCAATTGCTACCCAGAATTTTTTAAGAAATGCCGGTGTCAAAGTCCTGGATTGGCCGTCGCTTAGCCCTGACCTTGATCCTATTGAACACATCTGGGACGAACTGGGTCGATGTGTTCGTCAGCAAGTGAATCCACCACTGACGTTGCAGGACCTTCAACCTGCTCTTGCTGAGCAGTGGCGACGTCTTCCTCGGGTAGTGTTTACTAATGTTCTGAGATCCATGAGAAGACGTTGTGTGGCAGTACGAGACGCTAGAGGAGGTCACAACCGTTACTAAACACTTTATTCCGATTGTTCTTCAAGTCTGTGAATTTCATTTTGGGGGGTACTGTGACATTACTTGACGTTATCAATGTCAAGGACGTATTCTTGCTTTCTGTTGATGTCAAGGTCGTACGTGCACAACATAACACTAAAATAGTTGCCTTAAACCAAATATTAAAAATCTAGTCCCAAAAATCCTGAGTGTCAAGTTTTTAATTTGGCTGAGTATATTTCATTGAAATGCACATGCTGGACAGTGTCTGTATTTTAAGTTGTTTAATGGTCTCGTGCAAGACATTGCGTGATATATAGATATAGCACTTGTGCTAACACACTCGTGCAATCTCAATATATTACTTAATGTATTGCATTCAACCATTAAACTACACTTATATTCATTCTGTATAATTAAATGACATTATCTACATAAAAAATAAAAACGACAAAAATAATAACGAGATCGGTAATATTTTATTGCCAATATTTACATAAGAATCATTTTTTTAATTCTATTAAATTTTGCTATAATTATAATAATAATGTACCATACAATGTAAGCTGATAATACAATAAAGACAATTAAGAGGTAATTTAATAAATAAAGCATGTAAAATATTGTTAAAGTGTTGAAACCTGATATTAATTAATACACTTATAACACTAAAGGCAAACATATTGATAGTAGAAAAAAAACTTTATGTCACGATAACTTTGTGCAAGAATAATATACTGAGACGCAATGAAAACCTCACCGTGAAAAGTAGTCACAAGGGATAAAAATCAAGTCTATAATGGCATTGAGTCAGAACTGGTGCAATGTAAGTTTGTCTGGCTCATTCGGCACACAGTGTGTTGCAATGAAATCAAATGAAATGAAATGGGGTTTAATGTCCTACTGTTCTGCTCTGAACTGGGCTAATGAAGACAGGTATATGCCATACAATGTGCTATGAGGGAAGTTTTGCCCGGACAGTAGCACTACAGCCTACTCTTATATCGAATTCCAACTGTCAAGGGATCTTTTACATGCAGGCCAATGTGTACACGGGACCTCGGTTTTTCGTCCTATCCGAACAACTAGACAGCTGTCCTGCATCACTGACAAGGGGGAACCACACCGGAAAATCTGGATGAACTTTCTCGGCCAATGCAGGGATCGCAGAGTGTTGCAAGTTATGAACTGTGTTAACACTGATTAACCAATGTGGACCCCTCGCAGTAGCAATAGGCAGCGTGTGATTCTGCAGATGATGTGCCAGTTTTATCAAATTGCTATCATATGTTGCGACCCATCTCTTATCTGATGGAAGGAGTCACCCAGTCATTCTCAGGATGGTAATGTGATGGCATCGAATCCTTCATGCGACAATTCTTGTACTTGCCCTATTGAATTAATGAAATAGTGTGTTCTGGTGGTTCCACAGAAATGCAACATATTCCCATTCAATTTATTGTGCTTTACTGAACTGATCTGTGGTGAAAACATCATTCATGTGTTACCACAGTGATCTGATGTTGTTACATTGAAAAATTAAAGTGTATCACTCAACCCAGATTTACAATCATCTATATAAAAATATGCATCTCAGTATATTAGTAATGTACATAGAACCAATATGGCTATAACAAACTCTTTAAAACAATTTCAGTGTAAAGTATTGCATACCCTGTAACAATTAGATTAAAATACATTTTCTGTTTCATATCAGTTGGACATCTATTTTCTCTCATTTGACAATTAAAACTTGTCTGTGGTGCCGGGACGGAGAGCCTGGCAAGGAACAGCGGTGAGTTGTTCACATAGGACAATATAGCGATTTACCTATTCTTGTTGGTGTGCACGTAAATGAATCCTACAAAGAGTACGAGATAAAGCCGTTGTCAGGCTAAAATTTCCCCATAACAGACTGCATGGTGTGCCCGTCTTCATAGGCCTGGTTGGTGCAGAAAAGTAAAACAGTAAACCCCATTTCATTTTTTTTTTTTTACGTGCATGCCAACTAGTATAGGTGGATCTCCCTACTACATCACATCTAAATGACGAGATCAGTAGATCCTTATTCTTTCCTAGGCCCACCATACAGCACCGGACTGGGAAATCTTATAGAACAGCAGTATCGAACCAAGGACATCCTGTTTAGTGAGCCAGCATCAAACTCACTGAGCCAATATGGCTACCCATAGAGCACTAAAAGATTAATACAGAATTTCAGATATTATCCCGAAAAAGTATCTTACCAAAAAGTACACTCATCTAAAATTGCTCAATCATAAAGAAAGTGAGTTATGGCCATCTATGATTTCAGATTGTGAACATTTTGATTTTGGACATGTCAGTCAATGACTTCAGGATACGTATTTTGGTCAATGACCATTTACCTAAATTGATATTTTGTTTTTCTAACCATCTAAATTTCTTTCTAATGAACACTTTTCAGCCCTTATCTTTGTTAACTTAAACAAGGAGAATGATTATTTGCCTTCTGGGTCACTGTAGCTACAATACTACATAGAAGTATGTATTTACTATATGTAACTTCATATTCCACATCCACCTTCCTAAACAAAATACATTCTTCCAAACAATAACAAAAACTTTTAAACAAGCCAAGAACATATAAATTCTAAACAAGCTTTTAATTGTGTAATGTTCATTTTGTTTAAATTATCTTTGAAATAATACAATATACAGATATATAAAAATACTTTAAGGTTAAATAAATTTATCTAAAATATATGTCTGTCTAGTATAGCTACCTGATTGTTATGAACATTTACAAATAACATTCTATATAATATGTAACAAAATTATAACACAGACTAAATACTGGAAAGAAAAATAACTAAATTGCCATATAGCACATCCAGCTAACTTAATTTCTTATGTAACAGAATAAGTAGGGGAAAGGACACTGTGAGAAATATTTGAAGCACAAGCCATCGCACATAAGAGTAATACATACAGGCTACTCAATACATATCAATTTTGAAACTACATAACATTTTGTCGCTATATTTAAAGGGTAATACAGTGTAAGACAAATACTGTAATCAACAGTTAGCATCCCCATTTACTGAGCATGTCTTACTATGATGCAGATATAGTCAATTGACTATGTGGAGAAGTGCTATAATCTAGCCTAATTCTGATGAAAGACCTATATCAGAATTTTAAAGACATATTTAGCCAACATAGACAATGTTGGTCAAATATGTCTATGGGACTATTTGTATAAATATATGGCAGCAAGATATAATGTAAAATAAGCCTTATATATAATTTAACATAATTATAAGCTTTATATATACATTATACACATATAAGTAATATTTACATATATATAGTTTATATAAGTCAGGGAAAGAATTATATCCAAGTTTGTACAATAAAATGTTGATAGATGTCCACCTACTGGTAATAGAAAATTGTCTATACCAAACATTACATATCTCCAACTGAAAATGTATAACAGAAAACCCTGGAATAAAAATGGAATAACAGTACATAAGGGCCCAAGGCCATAAAAACCTTATTTTACTCCTAATAAGTCCTAATTTCAGTTGCCTGTTGCTAGTGTCAATTGAACAAAGTGTTAACCTGTTTGAACTTTGAAGCTGCCAAATTTAAGCATTGGTTGAGTTTTAAATTTAATCAATGGGTGTATTTTTTTTTTTTTTTTTAAATTTGTATGGCCTTTATCACAGGTAACACAATAATGTTAAGTAGTATGTAGGTAATATTTTCAAATTATGTGTATTTACAGAAAAAAATTCAGCACTATTTCGGTAGTCATGGTTAAATGAGAACAATACCAGTATAAATAAGTTATTAACTTTCTAATAAAATGTAGCTTACATAACAAATTATGGCTGCAGTTCTGTACTGATCTATTCCAGTATATAAAAATATTTATAATAAAAGAATAATTAAAGTAGGATGAATTTATGAAAGGTTATGTACATAGAATATAATTCTGCAGAAAACACAGTACTGAATGATTATTCATATTGTATCACAAAATAATTCTGCAAATATAAGTTTTAATTATACCTTATAAATCATTGCCACTCAAGGATTATACAAATTTAATTATTTAGAGACCATTCTGGTTGTCTTCCCTTTACTAGACATATATCTTATTTGTTCACAAGGTAATGACTTTGTTTTTATACTAACTATGGTAGTAAAAAGAAATTCACTAAGGCAACACATTAATATGTATATTGGAATGTCGTCAAATTGCATAAAACTATAACTTCATGAAAAATCTTTTTTAAACCTGATACAGTACGTCAATATCACAGATAGCCAAAGACACACAAACATATACAGGTACTAACATTTTCTTATAAAAATATATCATGAGATAAGACTTTCTGTCTATAGTAAGGGATGTATAATATCTTGCACGGGTCAAGGTAGGTTATTGTTACATCATTTTAGAACACCCAATTCCACTTCTCATTTAAGTATTTTGTTATACTTTGATATTCAATATTTTAAATAAACCAAATTAGTCTCTGATTAAGTGCAAAATGCATTTTAAATGGATGGAAACAGTAAGATCTATAAAAAGTGGCACTTATATTTTACATAACATAGATACATACATTATACACTAGGTGTATGTTTACTATTCATTAACAGTATATATTAACATCTCAATATTTCAGTGAATTAAAGCTGCTAATCCTCATTTGAGGGTCATTGAATCTCTAAAAGGAACATCAGTTTAATATGGTTTAATCTATTTCAGTATGTCATGAATTGAAAATTTTTCCACATTAAGTATCGTCTTCAGATGATATAAACAAGCCAGCGTCACCTATATATGTTGGGTAAAATCTTTTGATGGGCCTCTTTTAAATCTAATTGAATCCAAGTCACAAGATTATCCACTGTTGATATTCATTCTTAGTACATGAATCTGTAGAAAGTTGGATATTGTCCGAAAAATGTATAATATGATGATCCGTGGTTTTAAGAGTTAAGATAACAGTTAATGTTAATCAGAATGAGATAATTTCCCTTGAGATTATTTATTAAACAATGTCAGCTCCGCTCGTATAATATACATTTATAATCAATGAAACTGATTGAAATAAGTAAAATCAAAAGTTCCATGAAAGTGTCCCTTTTCAACTGACAGGTACGTTATATACAATTAAAAATTAATATTTACATCTACAGCAGTGCATATATTTCAAGCTTATAATATAAATACATATAGCTTGTCAGCATGTCTGTTTTATATACAAATTCCAATATTTACATATCAATATATGTAACTATCTTCCTCTTTCAAATATACATTCAGTATATTATACATTGTTCCTTAATCATACTAAAACTTAACATATCCAGTAAAAATAGATTTTGGAAATGGTTTACATTTTTTCAATATAATTAGCTGGGAAGAGTCCTTCTCTGCCTCGTAATTTACCTACCCACCAACCTGATTGATCTGAAATAAACAATATTTAAAATGGCTAAGGTGAGTTATTATATTACCATAAAGGGTGAATCAGTGAACAAGATTTATAAGATTTAAATCTAAAACTTTATCAGAATGTCAAGATGAGATATTTTGGATTGATACCTCGAAAATTGTGTCAGAATAGGTTCTCTAGTAAGTAATATGTCTAAGTCCTATTGATTTCAATAATCATGAGTCAGTTTTCCTTCAACTTAAACTGTCAACTATTGAAAGCTAGAGTCCATTTTTAGCCAAGGTTTTATTATCTTCCAATATCTGATGATTTCTGTGTTTACGCTAAAAGAGATTTTAAGACCAAATTAGCTTACACATTTATCATCCTATAGTTACAGATATTCATAAAATTCCTTCCTCAAAGAACAGAAGACAATTTATATCAGTTATTTCTGAAGGTGGAAACTGTTTGAAGAATGTTCTTTTAGTCTCAGTAGCATTAACGCAGCCATGGTATATGTACAGATATGCATGTTCAGTAAATGTTATGATATTGTGTAACATTAAAAGTAATCTCAATATCTTACCTTCTCTGACTATGTCTATAATCTCCCCCTCATTAAAACTAAGTTCATCTGTATCCTGGGCATCATAAGCAAATAAACACTTAGCTTGTGGTAAGGTTGGTTTAGGTTTAATACTTGGTTTAGGTTTTGGTCGTCCTGCACCTGGATTGGGTTTTTTCTTACCTTGATTCTGTCTTTGCATTCTGTAAAACATGGATAGTCACCTAATTATTTTGTACCAAATCTGATAAATTTAAGACAGAATAATTATATTCAATCTGGGAAATTTAAGAGAGAATAATGTTATTGTACCAAACCTGGTAAATTTAAGAGCGAATAATGCTATTGTACCAAATCTGGTAAATTAAGAGAAAATAATGATATTGTACCAAATCTGGTAAATTCAAGAGAGAATAATTATATTGTACATAATCTGGAGAAGACAATTGAAATAAAAAGAGTAATTAAAAATCATTAATCCCTCAGTAGTCTTGTGCTAAATTTGCCAATAATAACATACAAAATAAAACTTGTTAGTTAAATAATATCATTAATATATTCTATAAATGTTTAACTATTTAATACATGTGCCAGGTAGTCTTTTTACTAAGGAAAAGTTTCATAAAAAACATCAAAAGTACAGGAAATAATTAAAATAATTATAAATAGTATAAATTAGACCTGAATGTGTAAAGCTGAATTAGGAAATGATTACTCTACATGGAGTTATTTTTAAAGTAGGTATTTATTCCTTTTTCTGGAAAAACTTAATCCCTTGACTGGCTTCATACCAATTTTCATGAGGACTAGAAGAATCCACTCAAATGTTAAGGTCATCTTTTTGGGACGAGTCTATATCAGACTAATGTATTACAATTTTACCTAAGTTTGTTCCTAACTCCTTCTTTTATGCATTCAGGGCTTGATATTTTCATTACTACACATCATAAGTAAATTGTGTAACTAGTGTTAATTAAAAGTGGGAGTAGCTTCAAGCAAATCAATACATGTGTATTAAATGGTTTTTCTAGACATCTTGCTTTCCATTAGATATATTTTGACATTTAATCAAATTGTTGATTGTTTGAGGCTACTCCCATTTAAATAAACAAGATGTGCTGAATATGTTTGTTGAAAATATTATAAAAAATAGTGCACATAAAAACATTAATAAATGCATTCATGCTCACATGCTTGATTTTATTTATAAAACTCACTCAGGCATCACAAATATCAAAGTTAAAAAGCGTTTAATTTCATGCTTAAAATATTTTAAAAATTTAACAGATTTCTCATGCATACAGTATTACAGAGTATACTGATATTAGAACCAGCTAGTTTTCAGTTTCAGACTTTTACTAAATAAGCTCTACTAAAACCACATACCCATTCTTAGTGAGCACACATCACATACATTCATCTTTATATATCATTCTTACATGGGATAAATTAAAACTACTGGTTTCATCAATTCAAAATATCTCAACAAGATTATTATTGACATTTTGTGATTATGATTGCTTTCAAAGTAGAAGACGAATATTTGCTGCCTTCAACATAAAAATAATTTCAATGATCGAAGGCTCTCGGCAAAAAATCATTTCCGCACAGAGAACTTGCAAAATTCTTATTTGAAATAGGATTACTGTAATCATATAAATAGGGATAATATTTAATTTTGCTAAAAAATGGCACATGCACTGCACTCCCTTTTACAAGGTATAATTTTCTGGATGCACTATGAAAACATAAATGACACACAACACTCTAACAACTTACTCCTTGTTATAAGTCTCTATGATGTTAGTATGATGCCTTAAACAAAGAGTTATATATTATAGATATAAGAATTAGATTTAGTTAGTAGACAGATATATATTTATACTGAAACACAATTAAACACACTACGGATTATTGTAAGTCTGAATGCAACAACATCTGATTACAATTGATACCAAATGAGAATGTTTTCACAATCGTTTAAATGCACCACATATCAATTTGCTCAAACAAAAAGGAAATGCCGAAAATTGTGATTTTATAATGCAGAAATGGGGTACAAAATGTGGCTTTTAAAAAGCTAGGGGTCAGTACAATTCCTGCAGAAGGCAAGTTTGAACAACACCAAGAACGGTTCAAGGGTTGAATGCTATCACACTACCAACCAGAGATAATTGGCTGATAGCTTTCAGTTAAAAGGGTCAACTAGACATCAGACAAAGCCTGGAGCGCAACGCCTGACAACACTACGACAAGGTTGGCAAATTATCAGGCCACATCTGCATAATCGCACACTGTTAGCTTTCTATACGGTTGCTGCTTTGATGTGTCCACCGGAGTTCATTAGTGCTAACACTGTTCATCGTCAAGTTTGCTCTGTCGCATTGCGTGCCATACATTGGACCAATTCTGACTCAAATTAGACCTTTAGTCAACTTATTTTGATCTCCTTGTTATTTTGATTTATTTGTATCGGTAAATATCAAGTCTACAAACATGGCAAAAATCATATTTCAACTGTATTATGTCTGGCCAGCACTTCCAGTCAAATCAGTGGTGTGTTTTCATTGTATCTCAATATATTATATCTAATTGTGAAAATATATTGAGATCAATTATTTATTCTTTCTGAATGTCTCTCATGCTGTCTGCAATGTGGGACCGTGAAAAGAACCTCAATGATTCACAAGTGAGAAACGATAAATATTAAACATCATAGAATTAATATAAACTCCTAAACATTTACAAACAGCATGTTAAGTTTCTTGGAAAAAGGTCAGAGAGGAAATGATTGCATGCCATGCCAATCACAAACTTAAAGGTACATTATAGATTAGATAAAGAGCTGGCAGTTCTCACTACAATAGTTAAAAACTAGATAATGTAAAGGAAATTTGCTGAAAATTTCAATCAAATTGATCCACTCTGAACCGAGAATTTAGCAATGGAATTTTAGGCCTAGCCTCGATCATCATTACTAAAGTCGGTACGATAAAATACATGGTCTCGATTATCCATTTTCTGATTTAATCATCAATGAGTGTGAGCAGCAGATCGGATTCTAATCCAGTAAATATTGTAGGCTAGCGATGACATCGAGAGTTGATTATGGTCTGGATAAGTTAATCAATGTCTTAATTAATAATTTAGATAACATTTTAGGCCTAAAGAAAAACCTGCAATAGGCAGATTTAGCTCTTACATAACGTATGTTTAAACCAGGATAAACATACATTTAAAGTTACATCAAAATCGGATAAAAGTTGTGACCTCCAGAGTGTCCACAAGCTAAATCACAATTACGTACAATCAGGGGCCATAATCAATGAAGTTATGTTCTGATAAGTGCTTATATCAAAAGGAACCGAAATCCTTGGGATATAAACCTATATTTCAAGTTCCGTCAAAATCGGATAAAAATTGTGACCTGTAGAATGTCCACAAACAAAATGTGGGCGTATAAAAATTGTAGAAAATAATCAATGCCCCGAAATAATCAAAGATAACAGATTCAATAAATCTCCTCCATTTTTTCCTTAATCTGGTATCTAATCGATGTCTGCAAGATAAATATACATTAGAGTTATCTTACCCTGCAACTCCAGCTTCAGGCGTTGATAAATATTCATTATTATTGTTTAAAACAGCTTGATTGATTTTTTTCGCTAGTTTCTGTGCTCCTTCACGTGGTAATGATGGTGCCTTGTCAGATGTACTGGATCTGGAATGTTGCTTTACTAATTTATTCTGAATATCTTTACTTGTTTGTCTTTGCACTAGAATAATAAATATACAAAACATGGGTATATTATATATATTGATAATCAGAGATAATGAATCAGACGTCACTCACGCACAATTGCTGACTTGGTGTAAAAAATAATATTCAGATTACATCATCATCTTGAAGTCAAGGTAAAATGGTCCAAAACTTAATTTCAAGAATAATATTGCCTTGACCATTGTGGACAATTATACTTCAGATATATCACAACTGTTGCAGTATCTATTAAAATTATCCAATGAAATTGTTCATTTTATCATGAGCTAATGGGCTGCCATAGTTTAAAAAGATATTGTCACTGAGTTTTAACTAAAAAAGATTAAGAATACCACTATAATGGAGGTGCAGCATCACATGCATCCGACACTGTCAAATATACAAATACAAATTAAATCTTCCATGTCAGTCAAGTACTTACTCTGATTTCGTGATGGAGGATGAGATGTTGGTGGAGGGGGTACTTGACCATGGGGTACAGCAGGTGCTGGACGTGATGGAGCAGGGCCTCGTGGTGCTGGTCCTCGTCTACTTGATGTAATACCTTGTGGCGGAGGTATTCCAGGTCTTTTATTAGCTGGCCGTCTGGCGGCTCCATTACTTACATTTTTACGCCCAGGTCCTGTTAATTATACACACTTAATAAAAAAACATAAAACTAAACCACATTTCATCAACAAATAGAATAGGGTTTTACAGTAAACGTACATGTATTCTTGATTTTAGCTTGATTTCAATCACTTTTACAATATTTTTATTTACTGAAGCATGAAAGATATAACAAGTTCTAAAACTTTTTTTTTTCAGATTCATTTATTTATCATTGAATCCCACTTACTGGATAATAATTCTCCTAAGAATTTTTTCTGATATTCTTTTAAAATATTTTTTGGAATTTTTTGGTTCTCACGAAAACAACCACCATAATAAATGAAGAAAACTTATTAAAAAAACAGAATATAATATTTGAAATATAATAATATGACTTACTAGAATCTTTAGGTAACCCTGATCCTATAGATACAGTTAGAACTTTAGATGATGGCTTTAATATTGCTGTATCTCCTGAACCTCGTATAAACTTCACAGTTCGACTTCCTCCACCTCCCCATCCTTCTTTCTTTACACTAAACTCTAAACTATTAATAGACAACAGATTAGTTGTAATAAATAAATGTATCTTTAAACTCTCGATGCCATCATTAGCCTGCGATATTTAGTGGATTTGAATACATTTTGTGATGGATAATTTAACGTAAAACTAGATAATCAAGACTTGGTATTTCATCGCACTAAAGTAAGTAATGACGTTCGAGGCTAGCCTAAAATTGAATCGCTAACATCTCGGTTCAGAGTGAAGCAATTTGACTGGAATTTTCAGCATACTCTGTTTTCATTATCTATTTTTTAACTATTATAGCGAAACCTGTCAGCTCTTTATCTAATCTTACCTAATGTTCCTTTAATGTACGTATCATGGACATTGTATTGCAGATTATTGAAAATAACTAAAATATAACAATTTACAACTTAAGAGTCTTTTTGTAATAAGACTGACCAATTTTTGTTGTACTGCCAATTGTTAAAAAGTTATCTGAACATTTAAACAGCTTTTCTGGTTAAAATGTCATTTCCAATAACAAAGAAGTTATGATTAAGTTTGATTTTTTCAAAGATCTGTCTTCTTATTCCATCGGTCATAAACAAATAGGACATTATTTTATGTAATCCTGATACAGTTTTTCATATCATGTAGATGACTTTCCTTACTAGTCCGGAAAGTGCAAACTTTATTTCTGTCAAATGGAAACAGGGCTTACGAGATTAAACTTCAGATATTTTGGTCTAATGTATGGGTTACAGTTCTTGATGAGAGTTATTAATATATACATACCTATCTGAGAAGTTTAATGGTATCGTTTTACCCGTTCTATCTTTATATTTACGAGATAAAACTGTGAGAAATTCAGTTTTAAACACAGACTCTAAGAAACTACTGTATTCATTGACTACATTTAATATAAAGAAGTCATCTTGTAGGGTACTGAAAGAAGATAAAGTTGTGTTTTTTATAATTTTTATAAAATCATACAGTTTGCCAAAATTCCATGCATCGAAAGACATACTGTTCTATTTTCTTGACAATCTGGTAAATGAGTATAACAGGTACTGTTTCTTCCTAGTGACACACCAAATGACGGACAATATTAAGAAATGTATACACAGGTCTGACTTCTAATAAAGGTGAATTGAGTGGACAAGTAGTTTAACATTTGCATTTTAAATCACGATATCTGTAATACTTGCACTATTTCAGAGAAATGCGTAAAGCAAGTTATTGAAAAACATATACAGTAATTAATTTCCAAAAAGACTAATTCTGTTTTGAGTGGACATTAAAATATCTCACTGTTAACCTCTCTTTGCACTTTTACAGATATTAAATGTCAAACATAAATATCAAAGAGAGTAGCGAAATTCTAAATCCCTCAAGAAAGACTTTGGACTTAAAAGTTAGACTGGCTGTGCATTTGTTTACTAAGTCATAGCTAACCTGTCATATTGTATTAATGACTAATGAAACAAGATATTGGATTTAGCAGTCATTAAAAGCATTGAACTCACAGTAGAACCTCTTGATTAAGATATGTCAATACTAACCTCAATTTGCAAACTTGTAATGTCTAATAAATCATAAAAAATATTGATTTGTCCAACAAACAATTTACACAACACGTAATTAGCTAATAATCAGAACAAATGAGGTATTCTTTTTGGACACAAGGATCTATATTAAAACCAATAATACAGACATATATCTTTGTACTGTTAGTTAATTCTCACTGATCTAAAATATAACAATACCAGCGGTTCCCAGGCAAGATACGCCCACATTTTGCAAGAGATGGATAGAGAACAACCTAAAAACAAAAGCGTTTTTGTTTTTTTTGTACAATCCGGGGTCATAATCCATGAAGTTATGGTCCGATACATGCCAATATCAAAAGGAACCGAGATCTTTGGGAGATAGACCTATATTTCATGTTTGGTCAAAATGGACGGACAGACGTCCGGTTGGACAGGGGCGACGGCATAATACGTCCACATGAAAATGTGGGCGTATAAAAATCGTCTTCATTAGCCCAGTTGGTGCAGAAAAGTAGGACGTCAAACCCTATTTTATTCCATTTCATAATAATAAAATATTTTATTCTAGGGCACAAATAATAATGCCAACTGAATAAAAGATTTACGTTTCTAGATTTAAAACAAAATAAAGTATTGAACAAACCTGAGAGAAACAGAAGAGATTTGATCAATAGGTATCTGTCTTTTAACAACCAACTTCTTTAATCCTTTCTCTGGTCCTTTCTTTATCTATAATATAATTACAAATATACTAAAAGTTACAGACCATTACTACTATCTAACTAAGCAAAATATATTCCTTACAATTACTTTCTGTATAAAAAGACATACATATATAACTCAGAACTTTACTTTTGATTGTAGCTGAAGGCTCTTTGAAGGACATAGAATATATTTTTGCTTAACGAAATTTAAAACCTAAAAATAGCAAAGCAATGATTATACACCCACCAGATTGTTTGTAATAGATTGTTATGGGGTAAAAATATTTCCCAAAGCTGTGGAGAATTTCTCTTTGATAGGGGTAATAAACCAGCAAAAGTTAGACCCTGAATTTAATTTTGACTTGAAGAATACTTCCAGCTGGTCCAAAGATAGGTTGCCAGGCAATGAAACATAACCCACAGCAGCTAAGTCATCCAGGGAGTCAACAAGGGTTGTCGCATATTTTTTCTTTTGTCAGAAACGAAAACATTTACAACACACTAAAATCTGATTACGAGTAACAACCCATTTGGCTTCTAGTTCTGCCTTATTCTAACATTTAGCATACAAAAAATTTAATATCAGTTGCTATAATTATCGAAAATTGTTGAAAATCAATAGGATTCTTCGTCTCATGACTTTAAACACTGTATGTAAAGTCAATTGGATATTAACTGTAGCATCTAGAGGGTTCATCAGCTATTTCAATGTGATCAAGGGCTACAACTCTGTATTTGTCAGAAATCGTTGAAAATCAATAGGATTCTTTGTCTCATGACCTTAAACACTGTGTATAAATTTTAAGTCAATCAGATATTAACTTTAGCATCTAGAGTGTCCACAAGATATTTCAAAGTGCTCAAGGGCCATATAACTGGCAGTAATTATCAGAAACCAATGAAAATCATTGCCTTAAACCCTGTTTATAAATTCAAAGTCAATCAGATATTAAATTTAGCCTCCAAAGCGTCCACAAGATATTTCCAAGTGATTAAGGGCCATAACTCTGGCAGTAATTATCGTAAATCATTGAAAATCAATAGGCTACTTCGTCTCATGACCGTAAACACTGTATATAAATTTAAAATATGACAACATTTCAATGTGAGTGTATAAAAAATTGTTTTCGACAACTTTGACCTGTAGCATGACTATCAGGTTTCCGTGAAAGGGTCAATAACTCGACATAATTTTGTGTGAATTTGAAATTACACTTTATGACTAGATGCAAATTCACATAAAAAAAGCTCTTACTTTTACAGCACATACAAGGCTTGGGCGGAAGCAGCAAAAACTTTGCAAAAGGTTGCTGCATGAATCCCAAGTTTGAAAAAAAATCTAAAAACTACTGTGGATGGATGGATGGACAGACATGGGTGATGACAATCTACTCCTACATATGTAGCGACTTGCACACTTCAATTCTATTGCTGTGTTGCCGAAACTTTTAAAAAGATAAGACCTGATCTTGATTTGGGTTAAGTCTAAAAATGTTGATTTAATGGAATTGTATGTGTTGGTTTGCTTTGTCGGACGAAATCACTCATTATTGATAACACCGAAATATAAATCTAATTGTATCTTGTCTTATGTCTAATCAAAATGACACATCAAGATAAACTTTAAATCTAATAGGCTAACCCCTTGAATGATAATGTTATTTCACATGTGTATATTACAGCTGTTCTATTTTCTATTCCAGGTGTGTCCTTCAAGGGGAGATAACAAGCAAATTAATCACTATTGAAGGCTAACTTACCAGTTCTAAACCAATCAACACCAGATTCTTTCCCGTTAATAATAAGTCACGCTTCACACTCTGTAATAAAATTATACCCATGTGATACATGTACTACATATTTAAGATACGATGAACTAAAATTCCACTGATCTATGCTGCTCCCTATGTAAATGTTACACTTTACTCTTCTAATTTTCTAGTCAACATTTCTCTGAAGTTCAACTTTCCACCATTTTACGGTAGCACTATCGCCAGTTACAAGTCTTTTTTATTGTAGAATGACGTCAAGATACTATACCGCCATCTTTATGTTTAGTGGAATCTGATGGGCCTGATTGAATCCAAGCCAGGAGGTTATCTAGTGATATTTTTAATTTGGATTTTCAATAAATGTTAAATAATCAATCTGAGTACATGTTAGTGTGGATTAGGCTGTGAGAAATTTGACATATTTCAAAATCAGACAAATCATGCATAGTTATATTTCAGCTGAAAAATCCTTCTAACATAATTTCATTTATTTAAATTATTATCATTTGGCATCTCATTTCAAAACAATTTCTACGTAATTAATTTTTACTACTAACAAAAAAACCATTTTCATTTAGTGTGGAACATAGGGTTACATTATTTGATGTAGATTTATTTCTAGTGAATCCAGTGTTTATTAATTTAAAGCAGCTTTGTGTCATGGTTTTGGTGCCCCATCGCAAATTGCAAAAAATCACGCAGTTCCAATGCGGTTTTCAATGCTCAAAAAATGTCAAACATATACCGTGGGTCAGATATGCTACAAGTTGACTCTAGCATGTTCCACACAGCCCAATATTACCGAGCGGCACTGGGAGGGGCCCCCCACCCCCCTCTCCCCACACACACATATAAATATTGTTTTTTGGGGGCCCAGAAAATCCAGGGTCAACGTGCCCCTGATTTAAAGTGGGTTTTATCTCACCTTGAATCTTCTGTCATATTTAGTAACAGAATCTGCAAACTCTATCCTTTCTCTCTTACCAACAAGAGCACGTAACTCTGGTGCATCATCCAAACCAATATAGTCACCAACAAAATTACGATTCAAACTGAATCTTCTTCGCTCCTTCTTATTCATTAGAATATCAGATGCTAAAATATAAATCAGACATGACATATTAAACAAATAATGAATCATGAAATTTATATTTGTCAACTTACTACTTTAGGGGCTTTGTAGAAAGTTAGATATCATAATAAGCTATTCACATAGAAAATGTGAATCAAGCTGGAAAACAAATGAAATAAATAAAAGAATGAAATAATGTTCAATCTTACAGAACAACTTTGAGACACAATGTTATTTAGTCACTAAGTACTGTGCACTTAATTTCATCTGGTGGAGTTCACCATTTCATTTAATACAATTATGGTAATTTATGTTTCATTTACTGAACAAGCAAATGTTACTCAATATGAGTGCAGACTTCACTTTTAACATCTGCAAGGCAAAAATATAAACTTACCTTCTTCCCTAAGTTTAAAATACTGTTTCCAGGCAAAATGTTTTCTGTAAGCCTTTTGTATAACACGAGCAAATTTATCATACTTTCTCTCTCTCATTTCTTCTAATAAAAACAGCTAATGAAAAAAATATAATATATAAATATATCAATTTTATCTTCATTTATATATTCTTTTGTATTAACTGTAAATTGATATTTGTACTCCATGCGATGGAGACAGTACTATACATATTTTATCTTTTTAAAATAATAGTATTCACACCATACAAAACTATCGCTTAATCATTATTTACTTTTCTACAATAATTATCTTAGTACTTTTTTAATTGGAGTATTAATATCTATGATGTAGGTAAATAAATTGACAATAACTTACAGATTCAGGATTTTTAACAAAAACTTTTGTTCTTCCCATCTGAAACTGATCTGGATCCATGTTAACAGAGTTCATGAGATGTTTTATACCTTGTTTAGGATCACCGTGCCATTCTGGATATGTTTCAGGTGTAAGGATATTATATCTGTAAAAACATAAATCTCATTAGGAAAACAGTAGTTATGATCAACAAGTGTATTGTGAAAACCATAATTATTGGAGATGAATATGTTTAATCTATAGACAATAGCCTAATGTTGTAAGAATGTGATAATGGCCAAGTTAAAAACCTGCACAATGTGTAGGTTAGATGTAATAAAAATTATTCTAGTGAAACAACCCATGAAGTAATTACCAGAAATAATTAGAGCATCCACAAGATTTTTCAAATTGATCAGTGGAAAAATTAGACCATCCACAAGATTTTTCAGGACTTCCAAATTGATCAAAGGTGAAAATTCTGACAGTAATTATCGGAAATTGTTGAAAATCAATAAACTTGTTCAACTCATAAACTTAAACACTGTGTATAAATTTCAAGTCAATCAGAAGATAATCTTAGCCTTTAGGGCACACACATGATTTTCAAATGGATCAAGGGCGATTACTCTAACATATAATTATTTTAAAAAGTTGAAAATAATTAACCTCTTTAGTCTTAATCTCATGAATATAAATATATATTGCATAATAATTGAACTTTAGGCTCTGTTGCTAGTAGTCGATAGATGCGTGGAATGGGGTGACGACAATATTTCGATGTAGGTGCATAAAAATCAATAACCTCACCTCTTTAAGAATTTCCTAAATTCTCTTCTAAATGCAAAACCAGCTCTTCTTACTCGGATATTCTCTTTTAATCCTAAATATTCCACTTGATGTTTCACTCTATATTAATATAAGATAAATAGAATACAACAGTTTATTAAACTAAGTAAGAACCTTTAGATTAAAACAAGAAAGAGCAATAATTAAAGAGGAACTACCATTTGGAAGATTATTGCTGAGCGTTTTTCATTTCTGATTTGGTGTATTTTGACTATACTGTTATAGTCCAAAATAAATAAGCCAATCAAGCACTCAGATACAACAAGTTAGTATATTCAAGGAGCTTTCCATCACTTTGCAAATGACATTACTTTATGTGGGTTAGTGCATGGATTTCTGGTCATCGTATAGAGGTGAATTGAAATGAAATGGGGTTAAATGTCCTAGTGAATTCAGACCTACCACAGTCTGTGGTGATTTTAAATACATCCATCTAAAATCAACCATGATCAAAGTAACAATTCACATTTAATATTAACAATATGTATAACCAGAAGTATAATTATAGAAAATTTAAGACCTTAATTATTCAAATTCCTCATTATAATTTTAAGTAATGGCCATTTAAAGTTTACATTAGTTTCTTTTGATTTCACATGGCCATCTTGATGTGGAAAGTATAAAAAAAAATTAATAATTCTATCTTTATTGTACAAGCAAACCCAATCTTCATAAAAGTTTGTTTACTTAATTAAATAATAACCCACTATATATTTTTGAAATTGGGGAAGTAACTCAACAATCTGTCATTTTGGTTGATATATGTATGGAGAAAATTACCTGCTGTCCTCCCAATCTCTGGCTTTCTTTGTTTCATTAGGTTTAATACAACGAATATAATGTGGTGTACATTTCATCAGTGTTACAACTAATTTATTTGCCTGAGTCTGAAAATATTTTCATCAATTATTCATACAATTTAGTTTAAGAATTTATTTTCAACTTCAGCTTTCAGTAGAGAGCAATGTTTAATTTACCTCTGATTTAATCAAATATTTCAAGTTATTCTAAGGTAAAATATAACACAAATAACAGCAAATATTGTACAAAATTGGACATGCTCAAGAGACATACAGTAGAATCTGTATGAGCAGCCACTCCTAGTCAGCGACAACTCCTTGTCAACGGTCATGATAAATTCCCCCCCCGTAAAAATTCTATTGTTTCATCTCTTTAATCAACAGTCACTCCTCTAACGTGGCCAACGGTCACTATTTTACTAATAAATGTAACAAAACAGCGCCCATTCAACGGCCATTGTTGAATGATACCATCTTGTCGTTCTTCGTAAAAACCCCGCTAATCCTGTGATTAATAGTTAATTAACTGGACCCCCCCCCCCCCCCGATCAGGTAAAAAGAAATGTGAAAATAACAATAAACACGGGATTATCTGTTAATTAATCTTTTGTTTTATTAAACGACAAACCGTAACATTATTTGATACTGATTGAATAAACTAAAAGTACCGACGAAGTCGAGTTTTGTTAATATCATCTAGTATCTCTTATCCATTGCCACTTTGTTGCTAGACAGACGTTTTAGCGCCTCCTATAATATTTCATGCAGAGTTACACCCCCAGATAATAGGTAACAAATTCAGCGATGTTTTTTTTTTTGTTCATGTGCTTTTTTGATAAAATAAAATTAATTCATGGATTTTCTTCGAATTATTACCGAATGCATCATGGTAGACAGTAGTATCGATATTGATACAAAATGACACGTTTACAGAAGTTATGTCAGAGATTTGAGTCAAAGAATTTTCATTCCAAGCAAGTTTCAGTGACGGCCAAATTTATTGATGCAAGTATTGATGTTTGCTTCCAAACACTGAGATTTTATTAAGAGGCCACTCCCGTTAAGCGGTCAGTCCTGAAAATTTCCTTGAGTGGCTGCTTAATACAGATTCTACTGTACAAAGACCTCAGTAACTAATATAAACTGTTTGCCTGCTATAAATAAAAAATTATTACCAACGTCATTGTGTATCGGTTTGACAAGTTCGTTTTTTCGTGGAATAGCACCACTTTAGTGCAAGTATTTAATTTATAAATTACCTTTATTTTAGAACTAGCTGTTGTGGGACGACCTTTGGTTGTAGAAGAAACATCTTCAGGAAATAAATCAGCTATAAACTCACTAAAAATAAACATATGTAAAAAAATACTATAAATATGTCACATAAAAACAGGTAAAACACTGAAAATTACAAAGATTAGTGAACAGGCTTAGATTTATCTTAAAAGATCACCATTTTAGATGAAAAGAACATGGCTGCAAGTTAACAAGACTGAGGCTGCCAGTTAAACAAGACTACTGCTAGTTAACAAGAATATTTCAAGTTAACAAGACTAAGGCTGTAAGTTAACAAGACTGAGGCTGTCTGTTAACATCACTGAGACTGCAAGTTAACAATAACAATCAACTGTGGCTGCCAGTTAACATCCCTGAGACTGCCAGTTAACATCACTGAGGTTGCAAGTTAACATCAGTCTCAAATAAAATGGATGATTATCTCTTGTGATGTATCGATGAAGGTTGTCGTTTTTATCAAGCAAAGATTGATAAAGCATAGTACAGTGATAGATACATGTATACATAAAAGGTAACAATGACAACAATATTATACAATGGAAGTGCAAAGGAGTGGTTTTCAGGAAAGAGTAAAATTGAATTTTATCTCCAAATTTCTAAATGATATGCCACAAGTAGATATTTACATAACTTACTTGGTACTACCCTGCATGAGTTGTATAAGATCTGAAAATAAAACATCCCTATTTCTCTCACAGAAACCATCTGATGTATATGTTACCTACAAAACAAATTGACATTGTATGATTACTGTAAATACACTAGGCATTATTATTTGGTTGTATAGATAATACATCACTTCATCCATTGTTTGTATTTTACTATCAACTGGACTTATAGAAATGAGAGAGAGATAAATGGGGTTTAATGTAAACTCGACACAAACTAGGTCATATCGGGACTAACAAATGGTTCAATTTTATTTCTATAATTTGCTTGCGCGTGGGGGTCTTTAGCAGTGGGAGGAAACCGGAGGACCCAGAGAAAACCCAAGAGGTTGGACAGGCGACCCTAATCCTTGTCGCGTACAACCAGGGATTCGAAATCACGGCAGTTGACTCAATGACAGACCTTATGATACAGCACGCACGTGCTAACCATTCGACCATCCACCCCACCCCCCCAAGACTTATAGAAACAAAATCAAATCTATGAAAAAAAAAACCCTATGTATCATAATTGACAGCCAATCATGTGACCCAATCTAGATGATCATGTCAAGAAGCATATTAAGATTAAAAGTTAGGCTGGTAGTTTATGTTATCAACAAGATGTAATTAGAAAACAAACAAATGGTTGAATGCAAATTGTAAACCCCACCTCTGAGGTATAGCGACAGACGTCGATTTAGATGAATAATTATTCAAATTATGTGGAAATGAAATGAAATGGGATTTAATGTCCTAATTTCTGCTCCATTTGGCAAATGAAGAAAGGAATATGAAGTGTACTGTGAGGAAAATTTTACTAGGACATCAGCTCTATATGAGACCTACGCTTCAAACTGTCAATGGTTCTTTTACGTGCACACCATTGCATCCAAACAGCTAGACAATGTTAACCTTACCAAATTGAAAAAGAGTAGTTTGACTTACTTTGCCTGCATAATGATGTATAATAAAGCCACAGTTCGAACCCTGATAATGATTGTGAGTACCGACAGCACCTTGTAATTTCTGTTAAAACAAAATTAATTGACATAGATAACAAATTTTATAATTTCTGTTCATGAAATAAATATTTGTTTGCATATCAAACATTTTATAGGCCATTGTAATTATTATCATATCGGACAGGAACGCTTATTTATTGATCATCATATAATGCAAGTATGCTTATTAACGGGGGTACATAATATGATTTTCTTTGGGGGTGGTCTGTGAATCTGGACTAACATATTTAACAATCTTTAATTCTAATTATCAGGAGTGCTTAAGATGATTTTCCTTGGGGTGGGGATAGGGTGGTCTGTGAATTTGGACTAGCTCATTTAACACCCATTTAATTTACTCACCTCAAGAAATTTACTATCTGCTCCCTCTGACACAGCATGCATGGTGGCACAGACATCATCCAGTACACACATAATACCTGGTGGTTTCTTTTCTTCTATTAAATCACATACTATCTTATTATTAAAATACTCTATAGGTGTCCACTTTATACCTTCTTGTACATACTCTTCCTATAATATAAATACACCAAATATAGCAAAACCTTAAATATAACACAGCATGACATTATGTAATCTAATTAATATTATTTATTATAATTGTGTAGTGATAGCGCAAGGTAAAGCACACAAACAACTGACTATCTATACTAATTAAATAAAATTGGTAAATGGGAAGTTAATCTGTCAGTCGCTTTACTTTTCAATCACAAGTCAATAATGTCAGATATCTAGAATTGATAAATATGAGTACTGACACATGAATTGACATTACTTACAATAAAAAAAAACATGACATGCAAATTCAATGAGCAAAATTGCTATGGAAACTCTGCTGGAGCAGAATGTCAGAGGTCATAAGGAGAACAAACTGTTAACAAAATGTTTGAAATATGGACTTACTTGTTCAGCTTTCAAAGTTAATTCTATAAAAATCTGCTGTAATTTCTCATTAACATAATTAATACAAAACTGCTCAAAACCATTTCTTTGGAATATTTCAAAACCATAGATATCTAAAATTCCTACATTCACTTCTTCTTTATCTTTCTGCATGGCACTATTTACAGACTGTAAAACAATTCAAATTCTTTATTAAAATTTTATCAAATGACAGAGGTAGGATAACAAACAGTTGCCATCAAAGATAGACAAACATTTTGCAAGAGATGGACAGAAAACAAGCTTTAAAAAAAGTGATTTTTCATACAATTAGGGACCATAACCCAGAAAGTTAGGGTCCGATGCGCACAAGTATTGAAAGGAACCCAGACCTTTGGGATATAAACAAATATTTTAAGTTTCATTAAAATCTGATAAAAATTGTGACCTCTAGAGGGTCCAAAACCTTGGTATTGCATACTTTTACACTATTTGCATAAGGAGAGCGACTATCTTGTCAGGCAGTTTCGGTCCGATTCTCCCAAAATTTGAAATCAATTGTCATTATGGTGTAACAGCGATATATTTAAACGTTTTTTTTTTAAATTGGATAGAAATTGTGACCTCTAAAGGGTTTCACAAGCTAAAAATGTGATTGTTCGTACAATCTGGGACCATAATCCAAGAAGTTACCGTCCGATATGATATGAGTGAATATCGAAAGGAACCAAGCAAGATCTTTGGGATATAAATATATATTTTAGGTTTCATCGAAATCAAATCAAAATTGTAACGTTTGGAGGGGCCACAACCTTTGCATTACATAATTTTACACTATTTTGGAATGAGGAGCGGCCATTTTTTCGGTCAGTTTCGCTTAGATTTTCACAAAATTCAAACTCAATCTTTACTATGGTTGAACAATGTCATATTTTAACTTTTTTTTAAAATCGCAAAAAATTGTGACCTCTAGTCGATCCACTAATTAAAACGCAATATATTTGAACAGCTTTTGAAATTGGATAAATATTTTGAACTCTAGAGGGTCCAACAAGCCAAAAATCACAATTTTTCGTACAATCAGGGTCCATAATCCAGTAAGTTACAGTCCAATCTGTGCGAATATGAAGAAAAGAAATAAAGATCTTTGGGATATAAACAAACATTTTAAGTTTCATCAAAAACAAATCTTGTTATTACATACTTTTACAATATTTGCGTATGAGGAGCGGCCATTTTGTTGGGCAATTTTGGTCTGATTTTCACGAAATTTGAATTAACCAGTCATTATGGTGTCAAAGTGATACATTTGAACAGTTTTTAAAATCAGATAAAAATTGTGACCTCTAGATGGTCATCAAGCTAAAGTGTAAAAGTGATATATTTGAACAGTTTTTAAAATCAGATAAAAATTGTGACCTCTAGATGGTCATCAAGCTAAAAAACACAATTTTTCGTACAATCAGGGGCCATAATCTATGTAGTTATATTCCGATATGCGCGAATATCAAAATGAATCAAGATTTTTTGATTTTTCATCAAAATCGGAAAAAAATTGTGACCTCTAGAGTTTGGGTCATAAACATACTTTTTAAGTTTCATCAAAACCGGAAAAAAATTGTGACCTCTAGAGTTTCCACAAGCTAAAAATGTGATTTTCTGTACAATCAGGGGCAATGGCCCTTAATCCAGGAAGTTACAGTCCAATATACACAAATATCAAAAGGAACCAAGATATTTAGGAGATAAATCTATATTTTTCGTCAAAATTAGATAAAAATTTTGACCTATAGAGTGTCCACAAACAAAATGTGAACGGACGGACAGACAGACAGGGGCGACGACAAAAAAAGAGAGATAAATCTGTCAAAATCTAAAGACCAGTTGCTGGATAATTTATCAAAGGCATGCCATTCATGTTTCTTAAACGCGCCATTCATGTTTTATACAGAAGTGTAAGAGTCAGTCATATACAGCTCTAAATAGCATAAACGAAACGTAAAAGAATTTTGAATAATTAATAATAAAATACTACTTACTGTAACAAGATAATCAAAAACACGAGCATATAGAACTTTAGCTAAAGCATCTCTGGTATATTCTGCTTGTTCCTTATTTAATTTCATAGCTATAGATTCAGATTTACCTCCCCATTTACTGTCCATGACTCTACCCGTTAATTTATCACGTAACAATTCTTGATCTATTCCAAATAGAAATGCTGGGAACGGTAAAACTATAATAAACAAATATTAACATATATATATAAATATAGCATTGGCATTTCAATAATGGTATATAAGGTACAAAATCATTGTAGACTGTTTTCTTAACCCTTGTCTCGAATTATCCGAATTATTCCAGTATCAGCACGAGTCCTCAATACACGGCACCCAGAATATTAAGGGTTTACCGATTCTATTTATTTTCAGTTGTTTTAATAGAGGTAAATAGAGTTAACTTCCCATTTTCGATAGGTGGTGTCTAGGTTAGTGCTAAATAATAAGGCCAGATAAATTTTTCATCATAGATCACAAGATGTAAACAGTAACCTCTCCCCCAAATTATTAAACCTAACCTACAATCTCGCCATGCAACAATCACATGCCCTAACCTTATTTACACCTCAATGACCTTGACAAAAATTGAGCAGATTTAGTCGTCATTCTTGTTGTTTTGTTTACATTTTTTCAGTAATTTTCTGAAGATTTTTGGGACTTATTTAGTGATAATAGCAGCTTCTTTTTTCGACTAATTCCCCCCAAAAATTTTCAGATTTGTTCTGTGTATAGCTATTCATACCACTAAGCCCAAGCTTAAAAGATGTAAGCCATGTGTATTAATAATGGTCAAAAGATGCATTATGAGCTCTCTTGTACATCTTTGTGAAATTGATGTACATCTTCCTGAAACTGATGTACATGTACCTCGAAGGTAGTTAATTGCAACGGATAGTCCCAATTTTTTTAATTCATTTAAAAAGTTATATGTATATTATATACTTACATTCATCATCTGATACTACAGCATAATTTCCATCTTCTGTAAAACTTATATTACCTAGATGTAATATACCTGCTGCTATAGACATTATATCCATCTGTGTAGTATCTGGTATACCTATAACCTGCATAGCTCTCTATAATATATAAATAGTTTAAAACTTCATCAATACCACGAGAGGTGTACTGCTTATGTGTTTATTGATCTTAAACTATTGCTTATTGTCTTAAACAAAGCCCAAACACTTAATAAAGGGGATACTCGATTGACAGTTCTGGAATTAAATTCTCTCAATTCTAAAAATAGTGTCGATTGAGTGAAAAGGAGAATTTCGGAGTACAACCAATCATGACAGCTGAAACATATTTGTTACTTAAAATACGTCACGATTCTATTCACACCACCTCATCTGTCGGGACTGGCAGAACTATGACAGGGCTGAATTCCATATCACTTGATTGCAATTCTGGCAATTCGGGACATTCCGGACTGACAATCAAGCACCCCGGATGAGTATTAGTTTAAGATATATATCATATCACACAGGTTGCACATAATATCCCTTACAAAGAGAACTTACTTCCTGATTATTCCTACCTCCAATCATCTTTACATAACTACAGTCCATAACATATAGTTATTGGTTCAAAAGAGTTCAATGTATAAGTAACATTATGTTGCCGACCGTGATTAATACGAAGATATCTTTCTATGTACAGCAAAGCCAGGTTTTTATAATCAGAGGACAATGGATATTGATGTGATTATTCTGCTGCTTTTAGTTGCCTTTAATGAAATATTTACATAATTACCAGTGTATCCTGAAATTCTTTACTATCATCTGTACCTTCTACATCATAGGTAGCGGATTGATTTAAATAATAATAATACTCTGGTGTTGTAACTCCAAGATTCTCTGTAATGATATCAATATAGGATTTAATCACAGGACAGTTATGTAGTTTTTAAAAATATCACAAGCATTGGTAGCTTAACATTTTTCTCTCAGAAACAAGAACAATCTATCATCAAGGAATGGATGGAGCTAACTCATATATTTAAATTCCCATGCTTCCTTATTTTAACATAACTGGGCATCTTCTGAAGAGCAATTGCAAAGTGTTGAAAGATTTTTATTTTGAAACCAAAATTGGAAGTTTTGATAGAGAACATCTATCAACATAAATCATTGGATAAGAGTATGTAATGACTATAAATAGCTACAATTGTAGTACAACATAAAACCTTTTTATCATAAATCACAGAGACAATCAACCATTTTCAACAGACATATTATTGCCTAAACAAAGGTTTGTTAATCCATTTAAAACGTGTCTATTTGAACAAACTTTAATCTACCAAATTTCAAAGCTATGAAATAAATGAATAAAAATATTTCCAACCTTTCATTTCACTTGTTGCACCAGCACACAATTGATAAAATATATGAAAACCTCTTTCTTTAATATTCTGACTAACAACTCTAGACTGGAAATAAATTTTAAAAGATTTAACTGTTAGTGTAAATAGTCATGCTGATAATCCAAAACTGTATGTCCAACCCATAATCGGTGGTTGTCAAATTGACCAATCATTAATTTTAATGACATTTACGGTAAATGTGGCGCTATAAAAATATGTCAAAGCCCAAATGCATTCTTTGTCATAATCTCAACAATATATTTACCTTTTCTAATAAAAAATTTGATATTTTCCCACCATCCGGCTCACCACCTCTACTGAACTGAATTTCTACATATTTACCCTGAAACAAAATATAAATCTTAATAAAGTCAAGAGAATTGATGTTAAATAATTTTTGTAAATCCTATAAAATAAATATTTATTTCTTCACAAAATTGAAATGGTCCAGAATTATTGTAGGATACATCAAAGAAATATTAAATATCACTTGTAAAACTAATTTATATATATATTAAACTTACAAATCTACTTGAATTATTATTTCTAACTGTTTTGGCATTACCAAAAGCTTCTAATAAAGGATTTGATTCTAATATAATATCTTTTACTCTCTGAAAATAAAAACAAAAACAATATTTGATACAGTTAAGCAATAGATGAAAAGATCGTTGTATGAAACGTCTAATATGGACAGATGTCAGTTTTATTTGTTTTTCTTAAAAATTGAAGACTTTATGCTTGTCTGAAGTTTTACCGTTTAAATATGGGACTTTCCGGTACTTCGATTTTGGTCAACTTTTAGGATGTCTTTCAGTACACCCAACTCTACCAGAAACCATGAAAACACATTTTCTTGCAATTGCTTGGGGATTGGCCTCACTTTTTTCATAAATTGACTGATCTATTGAAAAACCTGGCATTTACCCTCAAAATTTAGGGACTCTTCGGTACTTCAATTTTGGTAAACTACCAGAAACCATCCAAAAACCTTTTCTTGCAATTTTTTTAGGGTTTGACACCTTTTTTTTCATAAACTGACTGGTCTATTTGCCTATATTTTACTTATGAATGAATTAATGAAATGTGGGTTAACGTCCTACATTTCTACCTTTCGCTTAACAACTTACCTGTACTAAAGGACCACCACCGGAAACTTTAGCTATATATGCCATGATATACTTAGCTGCCACTGTTTTACCAGCTCCACTCTCACCACTAAAACAAGTAACATTAATCAATTATTCTACCAGTTTGAAACAGGTTGCCAGGCAACAAAATATATGCCCAACCAACAGTCAAATCGTCCATTTTGTTAATAACTAAACAACTCATACAAACTTCTTTGATTTGTAAAAAATTATCTTTTATCTTTAATTTGTCGTTTTATCCATCTATAATGTGCAAGGCCAATTAGAACTAAGCAAGGTCTCTCAGTTGGCTTGCTGATTTATCAACTGGGTGTCTTACAACTCTCCATTGAAAATGTGGCTTGTGATTGTCAATGGAATCATGTATTTGGATCAATGGTCAATAGGACATAAAAAAAATATGAATTTATTTTGTATATAATCAGTTGAGAAACTAAAACAATCATTTATTGCCATGTTCTAATTTGGATTTTGATCAATCAAAAGAAGAAAGATAGGTTGCCAGGCAACGAAACATATGCCCAAAGCAGCTAAATCGTCCGGGCAGTCAACAAGAGTTGTCACATATTTTTACTTTTTCAGTAATGAAACATTTATAATACACTAAAATCTGATTAAGAGTAACAACTCATTAAGTAATTATCAGAAAATCAATAGAATTTGTTTGGTTTTTATAAATTTCTGCCCCATGCTAACGTTTAGTATACGAAATATTTAATATCATGGATTTAGCTGTTCAAGTTATCAAAATTCATTGAAAATCAATATACTTGTTCGTTTCAAGACCTTAAACTCTGTGTATCAATCTGAAGTCAATCGGATGATAACATAAGCCTCTAGAGCGTCACAAGATTTTTCAAAGTAATCAAGGGCCATAACTTTGGCAGTAATTATCGGAAATCGTTGAAAATCAATAGGATTCTTCATCTCATGGCCTCAAACACTGCGTATAAATTTAAAGTCTGGCAGTAATTATCCGAAATCACTGAAAATCAATAGGCTTCTTCGTCTCATGACCTTAAACACTGTGTATAAATTTAAAGTCAATCGGTTTATATTATCTTTTGCCTCTAGAGCATCCACAAGATATTTTGAATTGATCAAGGGCCATAACTCTGGCAGTAATTATCGGAAATTGCTGATAATCAATAGGCTTCTTCGTCTCATGACCTTAAACACTGTGTATAAATTTAAAGTCAATCGGATATTAGCCTCTAGAGCATCCACAAGAATTTTTTAAGTGATCAAGGACCATAACTCTGGCAGTAATTATTGGGAATTGCTGAAAATCAGTAGGCGTATTCGTCACATGACCTTGAACACTGTGTATAGATTTAAAGTCAATCGGATATTAACTTTAGCCTCTAGAGCGTCGACAAGCAATTGTGGACACCGGACCGGGGCGACAACAATATACGACCAGATTTAAATTGTAGACGCAGGACTGACGGACGGACGGGGGTGACGACAATATACGACCACATTTCAATATGGGGGTATAAAAATTAGAACATGATCCTTACAAGGTAAACTGTGCTCACTGCCCAGCAATTTTCTACTTAATATTTTACCTGATAATAACACATTGGTTCTCCATCTCTATTAACATATTACGATACATGTTATCTGTTAACGCATACACATGTGGTGGATTCTCATACTGTGCCTATAAAATAAAAAAGTCAGTCATTATTAGGCCAAATTTGAAAGACGCAAAATAGACATGTGGCCAAGTTATCCAATTTTGATATCTTAATCACATACTGTCAAAAAACACCACTCGGCTATCCTGCCACAATCAAGTACCATTGATGTATGATGCCTGTCATATTTTCACAGAGTTAGAAACACACGGTTCTATCATTAAAACAATATATTATTTCAGAAAACCAAATCTTTGTTCATTTAAATTACCGGTATACCAATTGCTTTGGTTACACAATTTTTAAGTCTTCCTCTCAGTTATGCAGACACTTAACTAAGAAAAAAGATGCAAAAGGATTCAGCTTTCAGAGTCGGCTCATAATTACCTCATAGATGTATATAGTTCCAACAAAAATTCAATAAGGATATAAATAAAGATAATATTTAAACTTACAGCTCCTTGATACATTTCTATTTCTCTTTCAGAGTAAATGTTAAGTTGTTTAAATGGATTTACTGATACCAATACAGGACCAATATATGTCTATTACAAAGTTAAGAAATAAACAACAACTTAAAGATAACATCTAATCTACACAATACTTAGATTAACTCATGAAACTAACAACGTTATGTATTCATAACAAATGAAAACTGTTGGTAAAATGTTATAACAAGGCTTTTTTTTGTATGAATTTTTTCACATTAAGAGATATAGAGGATATTTGTCGTTTTAGAGTGAATAACATATTTCATTTCATCGAGAAGCAAGAAAACTTATATTTTCACGAATGCGTAGCATGAGTGAAAATATAAACGTTTTCTTGCTTAGAGATGAAATAAAATATGTTATTCACGACAAAACGACAAATGTTCTATTTATTTTATGATTTTACAATCATTTTAGGTAAAAACAACTAGCCAGTGGAATAACACTTTTATTTCACTGATAAAACGTGGTATTCCACTACTGATCATAAAATAAATACATGTACTGAAAAATTCAAATTCTGATAATTTTATACCAATTATGGAAGCCGCTGTGGTTCATTAAGTAAGATGCTGGCTCATTAGCCAGGTTGGGTTCGCTATCTGGGTAAGGTTCGAGAAAGTTTCTCAGAATTTTTGGCCTGACAAGGAACACAGTGTCTAGTCATTCGAATGCAACAACAAACCAAGGTCCCATTTACACATCGGCATACATTTATAAGGACAATTGAAATTTGGAATTCAAAAAAAGTAAGCCGTAATGCCCCTGTCCTAGCGTAATGTCCCTCATAACACACTGTATGGCAGATATCCATCTATATTTATAGCCCAGTCAGTTCAGAAAAGTAGGATGTTACATGTAAACCAGATTTGATTTTATTTTATTCATTTCTACCAATTATTATGGGCATACAGGTCCACTGGACTTTTTGAATTGCTTGAGGTTATGTTGTCAAGAGGGTGGGTGGGCATAATATCACCAAATATTGCTTGAATATCATCAGGCATTGAATTAGTAGAATATACATGTACATGTACATACGAGTAAGTGTACCAAATAAGAGCCATCAAAAAATGACATATGCCCTCCGGCTCCCAGAAATTTGTACTTTTTTGGTAGCCAAATAGTTTTGTCAAAAAAGTGTTGGCAGAGGTCATCCAACAAAGATAAATGCAAAGGTGATTGAGTGTACACAGTTCAGTGCAAAAATGCTGAATAGTTTTGGGGTTCGGTTCCAATTGGGAAACAAAGACAGACTGTGATGGTTACTGTACATTGTATATCTTCTGCAAAGCATATTCCTGAAGCAATGGCCTAATAGTCAGTGCAGGGGGACTGTGCCACACATAATTTACACAAAACAAATCTACGGACAAGACATAATACGCAGAAATCACAAACAAACGTACATATCAAAATAAGTGAATGGATCCGGGGGCTAGCCATAAAAATACGGAACGCTTAACAAAATCCCTCTCTAGCTATTTCTGTGTGGGATTAGATCTACATGTAATCAAACAAAACACTGTGAGGAGTATGCTGTAAAGTTATAGGATATGAATATTAATAATATTAACAAGAATCTTGGAATAGTCTTAAAGATGTTAGTTTGAATTTCTACCAACTAATTTATTTTGTAACTAATTTACAAAATATATTTAAGTATACAGAAAGTGTTCAAGGTATCCACATTCTTGTAGCCCTGGTTTTAGACATCTTCCATAAATTGCACTTAAAATTTACAACCAACAATTTAAAACAAGCATTCTGAAAGATTTCCTGAAGCAATACATGTAAATTTTCCCCGCTGGCCACAATAAATAAATGTTAAGAAGAATGTATTCTGAAATATTTATATGGCCCATATTGTACAATAATAGGGAAACTTATGAATGAATGTACATGTACTTAAAAGTACAATCTTAACACAACATAGCTTGCCAATTTCACCAGTTTACAAAAGTAAATATATACTTAAGATTCCGAAAGGAGATCAAGCTGGATAAGTGGATTATCTTACATTATCTAGCAATATAGAGAGATATTATTTCTATTTTTAAGAGGAAACATTACAGAAGTGTGATATAAATTTCATTAATTAAATCAAACACAGAAATTGTCCTTGGGGTATTAAACCTTAAAAAATTGATGATTTCAGGAGCAAATCCAGTGATGATACTACTCATTGTTTGTCAACATGAAACTAACATAACGCCAGCTGTGCCATGAGACACACAGGGTTAAAGTGTGTTTTTCCTTCTAACAAATATTTGTTATAGAAACAGTAACATGAGGCTTGTGTCCTATTGTTTTAGTCACGCTCATCACCTAAAAAAAAATTTGGCATCATGATATATCATACACACAGTAGTACATTTCAACAATGTTTGTTCTAAGGAAGAGCAAACGGGCAACCCCTCTTACTTGTGTACACTTTGGGGGAGAGAGGTTTAACATCCACTCCACACCAACTAGATCATTTTGGGACTATCATATTTCTAGAACAATTTTATTTCAATAATTTGCTTGCACATAGGGGTCTTTAGCAATGGGATGAAACTGGAGGACCCAGAGAAAATCCACAAGGTTAGGCAGGCGACCCTACTCCTTGTCACCTTCAATTTGGGATTGAAACTCCACCACTAGATTCAATGACAGACCTTACACCATCCAACCACCAAACACCCAAGTCGACATTTGGAATAGTATTCCATGTTCACTTCGGATACCAATCTGCTTGGTGTGTGTGAAGCTTTGGGTAGAAACATAATTTTTCCTTAAACCATGTAAGAATATGTGGTACTTTATGCGAAATATTCCTGACACAATATTTCAACATCAACATAAGTCTCACTTGAGAGCACATAACATTTTGAAGCACCAACAGATTAATCTACTTCGTACGCGTACATAAACTCTAAATGTTGACCCGAACCTAATTAATATAAATGTGACCGCAGCCAGTCTTCATACATGTATACAATCTGGTCTATTGATTCACAATATCAATTTCAAAACAATTACATGTAGATGAGAAATGTAGTCTATAGAGTGTTCACAAGAAATTGTAGATGGGCGGACCTACCGACAGACGGACGAGGGCGATGGCAATATGCGACCACATTTCCATGTGGGCGTATAAAACGTACAGTAACACATTCTGCTAGAGACAGTCCACAGGGTGAACGATATGGGATAAACAATGTGAGGCCAATAGCACGGGACAGTCCACTCTTGCAATTCACAATGCGACAGAATGCACTTCAATGTCACAATATTGATGTTTATAATGTGTGGTATTTTAGACATTATAATCAAAATCTGTATTTTCTTAATTGTAATTAATATACTTTCATGGTGTACCGTTTGTTTTCAATATTTCAGTTGTACCCCTTGTACTACATTTGATAATACATTATCCCAGCTGTCAAGGTCTTAGTTCACAAGTACTCATTGATTTTTTTACAAGATGTTTGTTTTTTTTGTTTTAGTTTGTGGTTTCACTGTTTACACATTTAGTTGTTTTTCAAAACTTAATCTAAATATTTGAGTTTGTTTAACATTTTGGTGTATTTCATTTTATTTTTTTTTCTACTGAATAAGTTGTACATGATTTGAACAATGTGCTTTAGTGTACCGCATTGTAAACAAAATGTCATCAAAGGTCGGTTTATAGAAAATGACTTATATGTACGTCATTAAATCCAATGGAGAGAGAGAGAAAAATGGGGTTTAACATCCACTCGACACAAACTAGGCCATTTCGGAACTAACATATATGGTTCAATTTTATTTCAATAATTCGCTTGCACGTAGGGGTCTTTTAGCAGTGGGAGGAACCAGTGGACCCAGAGAAAACCCACAAGGTTGGACAAGCGACCCTATTCCTCGTCACGTACAACTAGGGAATCGAAACCATGCCACTTGACTCAATGACAGACCTTATGGTGCAAAGTGCACGCACTAACCATTCGGCCATCTAACCCCCCGATACAAGTACATAAAATACATGTAGACACAATGCACACATTGACATAGAAAGTAGTTTGAGTGCACATGATATAAAAAAATGAGATGCACCCATGTTTATATTAGTGTACACGTTACAGAACAAGGAAACTTAAGGAAACTTGAGTAAAATTGGGTAAAATTCCCCTCACACGGCATTGCACACATGATCACAGTAAAAAAAAACCCACACAAAATACAGGTTAGTCTCAAAATAGCCAGTGTTGTTTTAAACAGACATTTTAACAATTTTTTAAATTCTTTGGCTGACTCTATTCTCAAGGCCAGCAAATTTTAAAGATTTTACAGTAATTGGCCAGTAAGATCAAGCTTGAGATACTCAGCCAATATCAACAATGTGACAATGTCTACTGTAAATACTGGATAATACCGTCTGATTGTCAAGGAATACTTGTGGGAATTAGATATGAATAAGTGATCAATTGTTCAAAAAACCTCAATTCTACATGTATCTTGATGTCAATTTGTTCCTATTCATTACATCTAAGAACAAACTTGATCAAGATGAAAACAATAGAACTAATAACAGTCTAACCTCGACCAATCCCACAGATTAAACTTAATGCTTTACAAGTTTAACTACACAAAAGTTTTTGATTACGGCTATGCATTTTTCAGAGAATATCTAATTTTTGATGGCTTAATCCATGCTGAAATGTACTCGAATTGATTATTTTACAATCAATTTAAAAAAAGACAAAAATATTCCTTTTAGAGATTCAATTTTTACAATATCTTTGTTTGAAAGGGATTCAAAGGGGATGAAAATTAGCAACTTTAAGATTAAGTAGAAAACTTGTAAACTTTTCTCCAGTGCATACAAAGTTCATTGCAAAGCTCTATGTTTACAATCAATTACCAATATTAGTCAAGGAACAGTCTACATGTACACCAGAGTAATTTACAAGTATAGTGTTATGTATACATGTATGTTTGTAGTAAGAGATATTCATGTGTTTATCAAGGAAGATATAATAGTACTCAATATACTTATAATTCTTTATATAAACATTAGGCCTACAATT